TCCAATCTACTAATTATTTTATAGTTGATTCATTTGTACATAGTAGGCACAAACCAAATATCTGTTGAATGGGTGAATAAATTCATATTAGTTCCTTAGTTGAATTCATCTTGGAAAGGAAAAAATAGGTCAAAGATAATGTAAATAATAGAGTTTTGTCCAGTAACTTTTGAGCTTTTCTTTGAGGATTTCTGTTTAAGCTTCTACTTGCCCAACACATTTTAATTTTTGTCTGGGGACTCTAGTGTTTCTATTCTAGTAAAAGGGTAGAGAAAAAAGAGGACCAAATGATCTCTAAGGACAGTTCTAACTCTAAACTCATGTATTTTCAGTGGACAAAGGAGACTAGGTAAACACTCATTCCTGATTTAAGGCAGAAGATAGTTATCAAAACCAATAACAAACATTACATTTAATGGCATTTCATTAGAAGCATTCTCTTCAAAACATGGAACAAGACAAGAATGCTTAATGTTACCGATACTATTAGATCATTTTTAGAAACCTAGAGCTTTAGTGGTCAAGGCAGTGAAAACAAGATATAAATATTAAAAAGGATAAGCTCTACATCTGTCACTGAAAAAATTTATGATTCTCTACTTAGAAAATCCAAGAAAAAAGTTATTAAAATTAATGAAGGAATTTAGAAAGGTTAGTTGGATACAAAGTAAATATACTAAAGTCAATAGTTCCTCATTCATAAGAAATAACCAATTGAAATGTAATAGGAATAAAAGGTTTCATTCCTAAAAATTACACAGAATTATGCAATTAATTACACAGAAACTACAATGTCCAAGAGTAAATCTACCAAAAAATTTAAAACTTACATGAAAAAACTGCAAAACTTTATTAAAAGACATGAATAAATAGATATTCATGTTCCCAGTTGGGAAAAAATCAAGTCTCCCTAAATTATACCAAAATTCAATGTCATCCCACACAAAGTATCAAAGATTTAAAAAATTTGACTCATTGATTTTGAAGTTTACTTTGAAGAGAAAATTGCATGTCAATCACCATATTTTAAGATGACGTCGTGTTTTATTAATGTAAAAAATATGACCAAAAACTATAATAAAAACAGTATGACATTTGAGTAGGGAGAGACAAAAAGTCAGTGAAAGAGAATAGAGAATATAAAAACCTACCCAAGTATTGATTTTCTGTTAAGCTCTCCATCCCATACCATTCTCCAGCCAGATAAGGTGAATTCTCCTACTAGACGATAACTAGACTGTTCTAGGATCAAACTGGTTTAATGGGATATCATGGGAAAATTGATTTTCACGGTTTACCAGCCCTTGTTTCATTTCAGCAGTGCCAATGTGTGTTATTACACTATGTGATATATTACACTAAACTGAGCAGGAGCCGTGGAGGAAGCAACAAGTCTGCAGGAGCAGAAAGCCCTTTTAAGCACCAGGCTCTGGTTATCTCTTTATACATAAGTCATATTCTTTCCTCTTATCTGGGAAACCAACCATTTCCAAATTCCTCCCCAGACCTTCCTTTAAGGTGGTGCTAACTTGGCCTGTGGGCACCACCTAATGCTGTTATCAGAAATGATGGTTATGCCCTGGCCGTTTTGGCTTAGCGGTTTTGATTCCGGTCAATTCGTCCCCAGCCCTGGTTGGGTCATGCGGGAGGCAGCCACTCAGTGTGTCCCTTTCACGTTGATGTCTCTCTCTCTCACTCTCTCTCTCTCTCTCTTCCCTCTATATGAACAAAAATAGAGGAATATACTCAGGTGAGGATTAAAAAAAAAAGATGGTTACTTTTGCTGAGGTCATAGTGGGTAGAATTTATACAGTAGAGTTATAATGAAAACCTTTATAGATTTCAACTGATAAAGGTAGATTTCTTCTGATACCCATTCTCTGGTGGTTATCAAATACAATATTATTCTACAATTCAGCCCATTTCCTCTTACTTTCTCTCAATAAAGGGTGGACCAGAGGCAAAAATCAGTTAGGCCATTACTGCAAAATTTTAAGGAAGTAGCGAGTGCTTGAAAAAAAGTAGTGGGTGAATATGAGAAATTAGAGGGAGAACAAGGCTTGCTAATTGATTGTTAGTAGAAGTGAAGGAGGAGGAGTTGCCTGTGTTAGCTCCCAGAAGGGAGATCAAATTCCCAGCTGCGGTAGTCAGCAGGTTTGGCATGCTGGGACAGAAGATAGACTGTGCCTCAGGAAGGCAAGTTTGATGAGAAAACACAGGCACCTCATGGGTAGTAATGCAGCACCAGGTAATAGAAGTCAGAGATCAGTCCACATTAGGTCATAGCAAACATAGACATCATAGGCAAGAACTGTGGTTTGGGATGTTAGACTGAGGCATGGCTTCAGATTGTGGTGCAAAAGCAGCTTCAGGGTGAGAGGTCCTCCAGGAAATTCACTGGAGAGGAGTTGATTGGGGCCACCTAGGCCTAAGGAAATGGCCTAGCAAGAAAAAGCAGGAACGTTGTTTGTGGTCACAGACAAGATTGGGTTCCCTGCCCTGAGAAGAAGAAACCCCTGGGATATATGTTAAGAGGGGACTTGACACCCTAGACTGATCCTTGAGGAGTGTTCAGGGAGATTATTGCCCATTCTTGACACTGAGTTGTTCATTGTCTCACTTCTCACCCATGGCAGAGCAGAAACAATCTCCTAAGGCCTGTGGGTGACTTGAGCACTGTTATTCACTGCCCAGCCACTTGCCTCTGGTACCAGGTTGCTTTCTCTCTCCAAAGCACTCTTCTTTGTGTCATTGCTCCCTAGAGCCATTTGTTTCCTGTCAGATAAAATTCCAGTACTTTACTCTAGCATTCAGAAAGTATTGTCAAATTACCTACCTTTTTTTATCCTCACCTGAGGATATTTTTCCATTGATTGATTTTTTAGATAGAGTAGAAGGGAGGAAAGGAAGGGGAGGGGAAAGAAACATCGATGTGAAAGAGACACATTGATTGGTCGCCTCCCAGGTAGGTGCCCTTGTCTGGGAATTTAACCCACAACCCTTCATTCCGTGGGCCAACGCTCTACCTGCTGAGCCAAACCTGCCAGAGCTACCTACCTTTTTCTATGAATGCAACTGCTGTGCCCCAGGAAGATGATTACCATCTTTCAGATAGGCTGTGCAAACCTAGAACGTTCATGTATCTTATCTTCCTGACGTGACAACATTACAATTTGTATTTTCTTCCTGAATATTTGTTTTTATCCTCACCCAGGGACATTTTTCCATTTTTTGTTCAGATGTGGGGGGGGGGGGGGGAGAGAAACATCGACATGAAAGGCACATATCGAGTTGCTGCCACCTGTACAACCCAACCAGGGCCGGGGACAAACTGCAACCGAGATACGTGCCCTTAGCTGGAACCAAACCCGGGTGTCTCTGGACCGCAGGCTGACACTCTAACCGCTGAGCCAAACCGGCCAGGGCCTTCCTGAATATTTTTAAGGCTGGTCATTATAACATTGTTTTATAACAGTAAAATACCATGAATTACCTAAACATTCAACTATTTGGAATTTATTAATTGTGTTATGCTATAAACATTTACTGTGAAGTAGTGTACAGTTATTAAAAATGATGTACTGATGCCCTGGCCGGTTTGGCTCAGCAGCTAGAGCATCGGCCAGCGGACCAAAGAGTCACGGGTTTGATTCCAGTCAAGGGCATGTACTTTGGTTGTGGTTTGGTCCCCGGCCCTGGTTAGGGTTGTGCGGGAGTCAACCAATCGATCTCTCTATCTCTCTCTCTCTCTCTCTCTCTCTCTCTCCTTCCCTCCCTCCCACTCTATCTGAAGATAAATTAAAAAAATATTCTCTGGTGAGGATTTAAAAAAAAAAGATCTACTGAACTATTTAGTGACTTGGGAAAATGTCCCTGATATATTAATAAATAAAGATCAGATTACTTAACACTATAGTATAATCTTTTTTTTTTTTTTGCCAGAAAAGGAAACAAAAAAATTTTGTTTATAAATTTCTAAACTTCTGTCTTCTAAATTATGCACAATAATTATGTGTCACTTTTGTAATCAGGAAATAATCCATTTGTTTAAAAATTAATTTGTTATTGTTAGTTCAGAGAGAAAATAAATAACAGTGAAAAATTATTTACCTATACAGAAATGTTTTCAAATTAAGGAAAACAAAAGAGACTTTCTTCCTCCCATGCACACAATCCAAATTCTGTGCATCTTAACCCTAAGTAGAATTTAGAATGATTATTGGTAGTAACTATACTATAGTGATCTATATAGCAACTTTAATCTAAGAACTACCACTGAATGGTTTCCTTAATGGTAGCCATGAACAGCCTATCAGGGCTTCACTTTTTAAAGAAAATTAATAAGCTACAATGAATAGACTTCTAATAAAATAACTATGCCTTTATAGAGAGTGCATAGTAGGCATTCAGCAAGTATTACTGTTACCTGTAGAGCAGTGATTTTCAGCCGGTGTGCTGCAAGAATTTTTAAAACACACAATCCCTAACTAGTCAGGGGCACTGACCTCTTTTCCCTTACATTGTCAAAGAAAAAAAATGACAACAGCCAATACAACAAAAGCTACCTGGAGTGAAGGAATCAAAATTAGACCTTTTTTTTTTGTCAGATTGGAAAAAAGTATTTTATGATGTGCTGCAGAATTTTGGTAATTAATATGTGTGTGCCATGAGATGAAAAATGTTGAAAATCGCTGCTCTAAAGAAACTGCTATCTCAGAAATTTATTGTTCTCTGAGACTGAAACTGAAGAAATAAATCATAAGTCCTTCAAAATTCCAGTTTAAAATCTTCAACCCCTTAATAATATCCATTGGAGGATCTTTGGAGTATCAATTCATTGTACTCATGTGGATAATTAATTTATAAAATGATTAAGTTCTTCAGAAGACATTATTTTCAGTTATTCTGTTAATTCACTTTTAACACAATTAAAAGCATTTATATTCTAAAAGGAGATGTTATTTCACATTGTTAAAATGTATTTGCTTTCTTAACTTTAGGTTGCTATTGGCAGAACAGAACTTGAAGACTTAGACCCCTATGCTACATCTCGGGAAAGGAGATTTCGTTTGTTTGCTTCTGTAGAATGTGAAGGGCAGTTATTCATGACTCCATATGATTTTATTTTGGCTGTTACAACAGATGAGCCCAAACGTAAGTATATTTTTTTAAATATCTTAATTTTATAAGATTTTTTTTTTATCTCTAGTGTGGAGTGGTATTTTTTCAGAACAACCAACTACAGTAATGTGGTATTCCGAAGACATTATGCTACACAATGTTACCAGATTAGTAGTTCTTATAAACTCCTTTTGGTATCTCTTCTCTTTTCAGAAACTTTCAGTTATTCCCTCTTTCTCAGTACATTAAACTTAAATACCACCTTACTCTTGATGTTTTGTTTTTTTTTTAATCCTCACCTGAGGACATTTTTCCACTTTTTGCACAGATAGAGTGGGAGGGAGAGAGAGGAAGAGAGAGAGAGAGAAAAACATCGATGTGAAAGGGACACATCGAGTGGCTGCCACCCGCACGACCAACCAGGGCCGGGGACAGACTGCAACCGAGGTACAAGCCCTTAGCGGGAACCGAACCCGGGTCTCTCCGGACTGCAGGCGGATGCTCTAACCGCTGAGCCAAACCGGCCAGGGCTCTTGATGTTTTTTATAATATAAAATTTATATTCTGCCTAGTCAATTCTTATATCCAGCCTAAACAGTAATTCAGAGGACTGGCTTTGCAATTAGACCTGGGCAAGAATTGCCTCTCTCTCTCTTATTTGTCATGGCTCCTGCAGTGTACATATAAGCTAATTGTTTTTCACCTTTCCATGTGTTAGAGCAGTGGTTCTCAAACTTTTTGGTATTATATACATTTTTTGCAAATCTCTATAATATCTGACTTAATAGAAGACAGTTGGATTCTCATCTTTATTTTTGTATTCAATTTGTTGCAATATGTTGTTTTTCATGAAGAATGTGAGCAAAATCTGCCTCACAGATATAAAAGTAGAAAAAGTATATTGAAATTAGACAGACTTTTGTTTAAACCTTAGCATTCATTTGTCTTTGAGAACTTGGTTAAGTTATTTAATCTTTTGTTTCCTCATTTATAAAAAATAAAAATAGTAACAGCCTCATGAGATTTTCTGAGGATTGAATATATCAGTTGTGTTTAGTGTAGTACCTGACACACAAGAATTACTTAAATTACTTAATAAAAGTCGGTAGCTATTGTCATCATCATTATTATCACTTGAATTCATAACCATGATTTTAAAAAATCTTTGATATAATTTTATGGTGACATCAGCAGGAAAAAAAGGTATCCTGTGTAAACATTTCCTTAATGATTATAGTACAAATAAATGCTAATTAAGCTATATATCTGATTGTTGATTGTAACTATGTTTGAAATTGAGAAAATTTATTATACCTACTTAAATGGAACCTAAAAGGTGAATTTGCCTTCTGGAACTAAAATAAGTAATTTATATCCTCATATAGTTTCAAATATTATTTTAATTTTAGTTTTAAAGGATGTATTACTTAAAAATTTTAGACATACATAAAAATATTAAATATGAAATTAATCTCAACCTATAGCTTTAAGAAATAAAATATATCCAATAGAATTGAAGTCCCTCTTCAACCAAGTTATATTTATATATGCAGTAACTTCACATTAAAAAAGGAGTTTAGAAAATCCTTTGAAGAACAGTCTTAATGGCTCTTTAGTCTTTATAAGAAAAAGCTAATAGTATTGAACATGGTGACATATCCGGCAGAATGAATATGTCTTTTGTGAATAATTTACCCTGGAGATTTCATAAACCCTACAAAACTCAAGAGTGTGTCTAACTTCCTCTTTTGATAAATAGCTTCTGAACATTGCATCAGAGAATGTGCATGTACTTTTTTGCCATTTATTTTTCCTCTTTTCTTATTGTATATTTCAAAAGCAACAGAATAATAAATATTATTGTTCATTGTGAAAAGGAGGATATCTCTAAAAGTGAATGTATATAGTATCATAATTAAGGTTAATGGCTATTAACTTTCTACTTTATAGACTTATGATTTTAATCATTTGATTACATGTTTGTATAAGCCATTTTGGGTAAAGAAAGAATGTTGCTACATAGAGAAGAAATCTATCTGCCTAGAAATTGCTAAATTTTAGAGCATACTTTCTTTAAATCTTTTATTTTTATTTTTATTTTTATCCTCACCCAAGGACATTTTTGCATTTATCTTCAGATAGAGCAGGAGGGAAAAAGAGAGAAATAGAGAAACATCGATGTGAAAGGGACACATCGACTGGTTGCCACCCACATGACCCCAACCAGGGCTGGGGACAAACTGCAACCAAGGTATGTGCCCTTAGCGGGAACCAAACCCAGGACTCTCTGGTCCATGGGCCAATGTTCTAACTGCTGAACCAAACTGGCCAGGGCGTTCCTTTGAATCTTAAGAGAAAGTTATTTAGCAAAAAAATGCCTGTCTTATAATCTTGAACTTGACATATTGTTTACATTAACTATGCTTAATTATACAGAAATAACCACATTGCCATGAACATATCTTATTGGTTGTCAGTCATTATTGTAAGGTAGCTAAAATACTTAATATTGACCTGTCCCTAATTCAGTTATTTGATAGGACTTAATCCCATATAAACCTGGAGACAATTCTTAGGAAGTCATTAGATATTCACAGATTTCAAATAGGAGCAAAGGAAACAGCTATATGGCTCACATTTATTCTAATATTATAAGATTTATAGTTTTTGAAATCTTCAGGAATGTGAAGAAGAATCAGAAAAACAAAGTGATCACTGATATTTTATTCAACTGTAATATACTTAGGGGAGACGAATGGAAAACAGGATGAGACTCTATCTTACATTACCTGCTCTTTCCTTCTTCTCTTTTTTGCTTTGTCCCCATCCTTTCCATTCATCGTAGAGAGACCTGACCTTTGAATTATAGTTAGAGATACTAACACAGTGGAGATCATGGATAACACCTTAAAATTATAATTTCTCTGTTAATATTTTATATTCTAGTATGAATATTTTATAAATACCATTATTTGTTTTTAAGGCCATAGGATGTTTAACATGAAAAGTTAACTTTATTAAATCAGAAACCCCAAAGTAAGATAATGATTGTGGAAAATGTATTTCTTATTCACTTATACTATTTATTGTAAATAATTTATAGTACATGAAACAAATACATACCATAAATAAAATAGCTTGGATCCAAATCTTGAGAAACTTTGCCTTTTAGATATAAAAGCTTGGTGTTATCAGTTATGGTTGTTAATAGTTACTGAATTTGGATATATATGACATTAAGTATTATCTAATTCTTATGTGTTTGTTTATTATAGTTGTTAAAACATGGAAGTCACTTTCCAAACCGGTAAGTAAAAACTCTTGATGTATATATGCACGCTCTCGCGCGCTCTCTCTCTCTCTCTCCACACACACACACACACACACACACACACATAATGTTGTATGTATTTTGATATTAACCCCTTGTCGGAGCTGTTTACAAATATCTTCTCCCATTTAGCTGGTTGCCCTTTTGTTTGTTTGGCAGTTTCTTTTGCCATGCAGAAGATTTTTAGTTTTATATACTTCCATTCTTTTATTTTAGCCTTTACTTCCCTTGCCTTTGTGGTCAAATTCATAAAAATCTACTCTAAGACCAAGGGACCAAGGTCCATAAATTTAGTACTTATATTTTCTTTTACGTAGTTTATTGTTTCAGGTCTTATATTTAGGTCTTTGATCCATTTTGAGTTAATATTTGTTGTATATGGCAACACGCTGTAGTCTAGTTTTTCTTTTGCATGTGGCTTTCCAATTTTCTCAGCATCATTTATTGAAGGAGTTTTCTTTTCTCCATTATATGTTTTTGGCTCCTTTGTCAAAAATTATTTGTCCATGTATATATGGTTTTATTTCTGGGTTCTCAATTCTGTTCCATTGGTTTGTGTGTTTGTTTTTCTGCCAGTATGAAGCTGTTTTGATTATCATCACTTTGTAGTGTAATTTGAAGTCAGGGAGTTACCTTTGGCTTCATTCTTTTTTCTGAGAACTGTTTTGGCTATGTGAGGTCTTTAGTGATTCCATACAAATCTGATAATTTTGTTGTTCTATTTGTTTAAAAATGTCATTGGGATTTTGATGGGGATTGCGTTTAATCTGTATATTGCTTTGGCTGATGTGGGCATTTTAACTAGGTTGATTCTTAAAATCCATGAACACATAGTATCTTTTCATTTCATTGTATCTTTTTCAACTTCTTTGTTGTTGTTGTTGTTGTTGTTGTTGTTGTTAATTCTCACCCAAGGATATTTCTGCATTGATTTTTAGATAGAGTGGAAGAGAGGGAGAGAGAGAAACATCGATGTGAGCGACAAATCAATTGGCTGCCTCCTGCACGACCCTGACTGGGGCTGGGGATTGAACCTGCAACCCAGGTATATAACCTTGACTGGGAATTGAACCTATGACCCTTTGGTCCTCAGGCCAACATTCTGACTGCTGAGCCAAACTGGCCAGGGCTCTTTTCAACCTCTTTTAATAATGCTTTGTAGTTTTTAGTGTATAGGTCCTCCACATCCTTTGTTACGTTTATTCCTAGGTATTTTATTATTTTTGTTGCAATTGCAAAAGGATTTTTTTTTTAATTTCTTTTTCTGAAATGTCAATGTTAGTATATAGGAATGCAGTGGATTTTTGTACATTCACCATAGTACTGGAAGTCCTAGCCAGAGCAATCAGGCAAAAGAAAAAAATAAAAGACATGTAAATTGTGAATGAAGAAGTAAGGATCACTTTTTGCAGATGACATGATTCTTATATAGAAAACCCTAAAGACTCCACCAAAACTATTAGAAACAATAAACAAATACACTAAAGTTACAGGATGTTATTATATTTTTTTAAAAAAATAAGTAAACAGAAAAATATATTATGTTTATGAATGATTCATTTGGAAGAGTTAAGGATCCCACACTTTCAGAACAGTTCTGAAAAGGAAGAAAAGGGAAAAATTTGGGCCTGTCTCGTGTTAAGATTAATAATAGAGTTATAATAATTAAAGTAGTATTGTTATTATTGCAGTTATAGTTTTACAAATTAAAACAACTTAACAGACTATAGAGTGCAAGCATGTATGGAAAGATCTATAAATCATTAGCGAAAGAATTGACCTTTAGGTATTGGAATAATAGTCTTTCTTAAATTGGGGCAAATAAAATTAGGTCTCAAACTGACCACCATATACAGAAGCAAATTTCAGGTGGATTAAGTTCTTATATTTGACAAAAACATTCTGATATATTAGAATCAAAATGAGAGGACTGGGAGGTTTTATTAGACAAGATACTTAAAGCAAAACTCAGAGGAAATTATTGTCAAATTTTGCTAAGTTAACTATCAAAAACTTTGGCATATCAAAAGATAATGTCAACAATGTTGAAAAATATATGACAAATGGGAAAATATGCTTGCAACTTTTTTTTTTTATCCTTACCCGAGGACATTTTTTCCATATTTTGTTCAGATAGAGTGGGAGGGAGAGAGAGAGAGAAACGTCGACATGAAAGGGACACATCGAGTGGCTGCCACCCTCACGACCCAACCAGGGCTGGGGACAAACCGCAACCGAGGTACATGCCCTTAGCGGGATCCGAACCCGGGTCTCTCCGGACTGCAGGCTAACACTCTAACCGCTGAGCTGAACTGGCCAGGGCTGCTTGCAACTTTTTAACAGTAAAGCTTAAGTGTCTTGTAGTCATATAGGACTACTGTAAATCAATATAGAAAAGATAGTTATCTTAATAAGAAAAAAATGGACATAGTGAGAATGGCTGCTATATATATAGAAAGGAGCTCAATGTCACTAATAATCAGGGATATGCAAATTAAACCACATATGATACTATTTCATAGCCATGAGATTGTCAGCTTCCAGAAATCTAACAATGCCAGTAATTAGCATGGACAAGAAGAGGAAGAACCAAGTGAGAGTGCATTATGGTGTATTCACTTTTGAGAGAAATTTGACAGTATCTAATAAAGTTGAGAATAAACATCAAAAATTCTACTTCTAGCCCGGCCAGTGTGGCTCAGTGGATTGAGCATTGTCCCATGGACAGAGGTTCCGACCTGGTCTGGGCGCATACCCAGGTTTCAGGCTCGACTCCCAGTGGGAGGCGTGCAGGAGGCATCCAATCAATGTTTCTCTCTCACATCGATGTATCTCTCTCTCTCTCCTCCTTCCTCTCTCTCTAAAAAAATCAATAAAAACATATTTTTTAAAAATTCTACTTCTAGATATGTATACTAGAGAAACATTTGCATGCTTATTCCAGGAGTCCTGTACATATTACTGAAGCATTGATTGTAATAGCAAAAAAGAAACAACATAAATGTCAATCAGTAAAGAAATGAATAGAAGAATTGTGAAGTAGGCATATCAAAGACAAATAAAGTAATACAGAGCTAAAATGAATAAATACGTTAGAGCTATATGAATAGACTAAGCAACATGAATAGACTAAGCAACCATAAATAAAACAGCAAGTTGCAGAATAATATAGACCAGTGATTCTTAAAGTGCAAAGACCATTTTAGGGACCCATAAAGTCAAAACTATTTTCATAATAATACAGAGAAGATATTTGTTTTATTCCTTTCGTTCTGTCACAAGGCTGCATAATGAGTTATGACACCATCACTGACAGATAATAGTATAAGTACTTGTGTATTTTTGTGTTTTAAAACTTAATTGTATCTCTTTCCACATTTATTAAATATTTATGGCTATAACCCACATAAATAATATCTTTTTGGGGTCCATAATAAATTTTAGGAGTATAAAGAGGTACATTTCAAACTGCTGATGTGGACAACTGCTATGTAGCTATTAAAATGAAAATGAAGACTATTTGGCAGGAAAATATGCCCATATATTAAATGCATAAAGTTACTAAACAGTATGTAGCAAATGATTTAATAATTACCACAATAATAACAAAATACTGTATAAATATGCCTGATACAGAATTAGACCAAAAGGGTGTTAAAACATTTCATTGTGGTTAATTTCACCCCTGGATTACAATTAGTTTTTATATTCCGTATAAAGTCCTGTATTACTAATTTTTATGTATGTATATTAACTGTATAATAAGACAAATTGTACTCATTTAAGAAAATTATATGAATCCTTTAAGAGCCAAGTATAATTCTAGGTAACTGAATTCAGTCCAACAGATACTCATTTGGTGCCTATTTGCAATGCTGCAGTATAATTCTGACACTAACCACCCAGAATTATTGTCAGACTCCACAGATTTAAGGACCCACACCCTAAGAAGACTGTCTTATTTCAGATGCCAGCTACAAGTTAAGGGTCCCAGGCCACCCATACTTCTGGCCAACTAGATACAAATCCAGGCAGTTCCCACAACTCACCTCAGGTTCAGTAATTTGCTAGACTGACTCGTAAAACTCAGGAACTTTCTACACTTAAAAGCATAGTTTATATGACTAAAAATGGACACAAATAAGGACCAACCAAAAGATGATACAGGGCAAGGTATAGGCGGGACCCAAATACAGGACCTCTCTGCCTCTTCCCATAGAATCGGGTGTGTCACCCTCATGGCACATCAGTGTATTCACCAGCCTGAAAGCTTCCCTGAACTTGGTGTCAAGAATTTTCATTGCATAAGTCTGATTGATTGGCTCCTTGACCATGTGACTGAACTCAGTCTTCAGTCCCTCTCCTCCCCCCTCCCCAGAGGCTGTAATCATGTGGTGGTTCTTCCTGGTGTCAGCCCCCATCCTGATCATCTCCTGAGCCAAACGCAGGTGTGAGCCAAGAATGTAGACTCTCTTCCCAGGGGCCTGGGACAAAGGCTAATCAACTTCTTTGTTATACAATACTACTACATATAAGAGACTAAGGTAGATACGAGAGTGAGTAGAGAGATTTCCTGCCTGAAATAGATTTTAATAAAATTAAAATCCTTAAAGTTAACAGAAGACAAGGAAGATGAGTGTGTCAGTTGGATGTTCTACATCAGAAGAAACTAAATTATTACTAAAACAAACTTCCTAGAGTCAGTTAGGATCTGGCCAGTCATTTACTAGTTGTGTGAGCTTGGATGAGTTGCTTATGTTTCTTAAGACTCAGTAAAGTGTACAAAATGAGGGTTGTCTTTGAGAATTATCTTTTTTTTTTTTTTTTTTATCCTCACCCGAGGACATTTTTCCATTTTTTGCACAGATAGAGTGGGAGGGAGAGAGAGGAAGAGAGAGAGAGAGAAAAACATCGACGTGAAAGGGACACATCGAGTGGCTGCCACCCACCCGACCAACCAGGGCCGGGGACAAACTGCAACCTAGGTACATGCCCTTAGCGGGAACCGAACCCCGGTCTCTCCTAACCGCAGGCCGATGCTCTAACCGCTGAGCCAAACTGGCCAGGGCTGTCTTTGAGAATTAAATGAGATATTGTATTAGCCCATTACCAACTACATTGAGGACACTCAATGAAAGGCTATGAGTTTTTGGTCTTAAATGCTGGCTAAGTTTAAGTTGAACACATGGAAACAGTTAAAATAAAATAAGTTAGTATTTATATAATTGAGATGGTAAAAATTAAATGTTTAAAATGCATTCAAAATGTTTTTTAATCTCTTGTTCTAGTAAAAATATTTGAGTTTAGTGTTGTTTAAACAGTAAATATCTCAGCTTCTCATCATTATTTATACCTGAATTTTTTACTTCTCTGACATTGCTACCCATTGCCTGGTGGCCTCTGTGACCTGCAGTGCAGTGATGACACTGTGAAGGCAGTGAAAGCCAGGATTCACAGATGGGCTTCAAGGAATCTGTAAATCCCCTAAAAATACCTCTCCTGTCTTTGGCATGCAAGGATTCCTTATTTGCATGCTAACTCCATTTTGTAATAAAAAGTTGATTTATTATAAATGTCACAGAACATTTTTAGGTACAACTACATCAAAAAGGGTTTGTCTAGAGTGCTTCTAAACTTGAATGTGCATAACGGTCACCTGGACATCTTGTTAAAAACAGATTCTGGTTCAGTAGGTCTGGGATGGGAACTGAGAGTCTGTATTTCTAACAACCTCCCAGGTAATGATGCTTGGGCTATTGGGTAACCAGACTTTGAGTAGCAACAATCAGATCTGGAAATAGAAGTGGTTTCTAGTGTTTTATTTAAGTGTGTTACTTAGCAGGCATTTTTAAATTTCAAATTATTTTAAGTTATCTCATCAAATCATTTAATAATTTTTCTCCACATTTAAACAAATTATAATTTTCACTTATTTTCACCACAGTATGTACAAAAAAATTCAAAATTGTTTTAGTATCTAAAAAGTAATTTAAATATTTAAATTTTCTAAAATAATCACCTCCCACCAGGTTTGGTGGTTTGAGAAAAAAAATAAAAACGGACTAATCAACAATTGAAGAGGAATCAGAAAAAGCAAGTGATTGCTGATTATTGGCATTGTTAGATTTCTGGAAGCTGACAATCTCATGGTTGTGAAATAGTATCATATGTGGATTAATTTGCATATCCCTAATTACTAGTGACACTGAGCTCCTTTACATATATATACCGGCCATTCTAACTATGTCCATTTTTTTCTTATTAAGACGAAAATTAGAAAAAAAAGGAAACTTTCCACAATAACTCAATGTATTTGTCCTCCCATTTTATCTGATGTTATAATTCTTTGAGTCACTTTAAAAAATGTTCTTCAGCCCTGGCCAGTTTGGCTCAGCGGTTAGAGCGTCGGCCTGCGTTCCGGAGAGACCCGGATTCGGTTCCCGCTAAGGGCACATACTTCGGTTGCAGTTTGTCCCCAGCCCTGGTTGGTCGTGCGGGTGGCAGCCACTCGATGTGTCCCTTCACGTCGATGTTTCTCTCTCTCTCTCCCTCCCACTCTATCTGTACAAAAAATGGAAAAATATCCTCGGGTGAGGATAAAAAACAAAAACAAACAAACAAAAAAAATGTTCTTCATTCCTTCCTGATACAATCCTTCATCCATTTACTTCTTCTACTCAAAGCCCCTTAAATCCAATAGGACTACAGCAGTGTGTGAAGCCTGGGATCACCTGTGACTTAATTAGGAAGTCCACCTTTTCCAGTGGCTTTCATGAAACCGTCCTTTTCTAACTGGCTCCACAATTAAAACTCACTGTTTTATATGTTACTCTATTAAATTTATTTGAAATTTTTGGTAACTCTAATTGAGCTATATCAATTAGTATATCTTTATCATTTATTTTATTTGGACTATGGGCAAATATTGGGTTTTGTGGATGAATAAACTATGGCTGGAGAATAGGATAAATACAGCCATGTCTCAGGTCTTCTATATGGAGAATTACTGTATGTAGGCATTTAAATATTTTTTATCTATTTTATAATTAATTTACCTGTTAATCAGCGTTGTGATACCTTGTGTCATAGGAATTAAATCAAATGCTCTCCGAAACACCACCAGTTTGGAAAGGATCATCAAAACTGTTTCGAAATCTTAAACAAAGAGGTAAGTTAACCTTAGTACTTATGCATTTTAATATTGACACAATATTATACTGTTTACATATACAAATTTTCCTCATACGTAAAATAATTTTACAGCTACAGTTTGTGTATGTGTACATAGAGAAAAAACGAGAAAAACACAAAAATATTAATAATGGTTGTTTCTAGGTAGTGGGATTAAGGGTGGTTTTTATTTTACTTATATATTATTTATATCTTCTAAATTTTTACAACAAAATGAACTTCTCCAAGTAAAAAAAAAATGATCAAACAAATTGAGAAGTGTACGCTATATTTATCCATAGAAAGCATTTTTCAAAAATACTGATCTCTAAATGTCTATTTTACTTCCAGGGAACTATAGATTTTTTAAAAATTTAATCAATATAATAAACTTATTGGATCTGTCATTGGCCACCCAATTTGAACATGTTTCTTTAAAAATCATTTACTGTAAAATTCACTTATTTCAACTTATTCTATTATCCATATCTGTGTATCTAACGTAACTCACTAATTTATACATGCAGTCAAATTATATAGCTTTTATTGCAATTTTTTTACAGTGTAATTTTTGTACATATTTATGCAAAAACTAATAAAATATTTAAGATTAATTTAATCATAAAAAGGAATGTTTCCTTGAAATACACTTTTTATATTCTCAAGTATGAGAATATATGAAATAAAAATATTAAAGAAGTTATATAAAGTAACTTTTTTCTTTTCTATCAATTTTAACCAATACTGGTTTGAAATATTTTTACTTTAGCATGAAGATAAATTGTGTAAAAGAGTAGTTATAATCCACATATTTTATCTAGTAGAATTAGAAATTCAAATTCCTTCCACCTGGTTCTCATGGCATCTGAAAGAAGACATTTTATCTTTTATTTTAGGTTTTTTCATAACTTAGAGTTTTAATATCTTTGCAAATTTAGTCCAAGGTATCTTTAAAGCTCTTAGAAATTTTTTTCTGGAGGTTGTCTTGAAGATTCTTGCCATTCAGATCTTTGGGTGGGATGATAAGATCAGAAAGTGTATTCCACCAAATCATTTTGAACAAGTCATTAAGATGGGACTGGAGACAGAGAGCCCGTTTCCCAATCCCATTTCCTTTTATCCCTCCTGCATTTGTGCTTTCTTTCTTCTTCTTCTTCTTTTTTTGAAGGATCCCTATGGAATCTAGGTATTGTATCTTTATATACACTGACCATTCCAGAATCTTTCTCCCATAACATTCATGGCAATCAACCAGAACTATGTCTATAGGTCACAATATTCTAGTATAAACAAAAGAAGGGAATGCTTTCAGGACCTCCTGGCGCGTTCTCTTCATGTCTTCTGACAAACTGCCAGACAGTGACTGCTCTTCTCTTTGTTCTCTAACGAAGAGGGTAGTCTCGAAGAACACCCGGTAAAAATGGAGATTTAAGGTTTACAATCTGGTGGTGTAAGGATTTTTATACCCTTTTACCAAACATCAGGACTATCTCGTATCTAGATAAGAGTTACTGGCTTATTCCCGATTACAATTTTCTCAGGATCCACTTGGAAAGTCAAGTAATGAATTAATTCTAGTTTTGGGTATTATAGGCAACAAACAAGAATTTGAGAAACAGGTTGTATATTTTTATTTACTCCAAACTAACTTCTTTTAAAGTTTGTAAAGCTGGGATTATAGAGAACTCAGGTTGCAATATATAGAAAGTATAAGCCATTTAATTAAAATTAAAACTTCTTTAATTACATTTAATAGAAGTATTACATTTATCAATGATAATAATAACTTCAAAGCAGAAAAAGAATAACTATAGTTTTGTTTTCTGAATGCAATACAGACATCAAAATTCTAAGGAAGAATGTCTAAATGTTTTATTCAACTGTTACTAAGAATTAAGCACTTTATAGTGCTAACTATTTCCAACCTTTTAATTTTATGTTTGATTCATACCTTGAAAACTGGCTATAAGTTTAGCAGTTACAGCAATAAGTAAGCTTTATAATTTTGATTTTTATTGCCAGTATATCTGGAAGCATTAATGGGAGTTTTATATAGGTTTTTACAGAGATGTGAAACAATGGAGGTAAATTAATTTTGTTGCTTTTTTTGCTATGATTTTATAACAACAGTTTAATCTCATTTAAGACAATACTTAGCATCTTCTTTAAAACTGTAAGTTCTTTATTAATATTACTTGTTACTATTATAAGAATATTTTATTTGATAAATATGAAGAAAAAGTAATATTTTTTATATAGCATAATTGGTACTGTTTTTCTTCTAGGTGTGATTTCTTACACAGAATATCTTTTTCTTTTGTGTATTTTAACAAGTAAGTGTACTCATTAAATATGTTTCTGGATGAAATTTTTTTTAAATCAGAATTTTAGAGAACAAATCTTTCTTAGATTCTCTTACTATTGAAAATCACTTTAGGTTTATCTATGCTGTTTTGCCAAATGCATGTCTAAATGGCTGTGGAGAATGCCAAGCATGGGCTATCAAGTTAAAGTCATAAATATTATGGCTTACAATATAGTAGTAAAATGCTTATAAACTGTAACTTTAATATCATATATCGATCCTTGTGGTTTAATCTACATGAGGGCCTAAAGGTTAGGACATGTAATGATTTATAAATTTCCTGCTACACTCATTCAAATCACATTTTCTTCAAGACTAGTGTGAAAGAATGAATCTTTTAAGTAGTAAGTCTATCAGAATACCCATCATACATCCTAAAACACCTTCATTTTTCTCTTCCTCTTATATGCAGCAATTCTTAGGAAATATATGAAGGGTTTACTAAGGTTTTCAGTTAAATTTCCTTGTATTTAATGGTGGAAATATACTGTGGCCGCCTGACCTATCTGTTCCCTTATTCTCATCTCAGGAATTTGTACTTTCTGCTCCCTCTGCCATCCATGCTTTTCTTCAAGATCTCATGATAAAAAACAACATTCAGGTTTCCTTTGAAATATGAAAACATAGGGAATTCTTCCTTGACCATCTTTTCTAAAATAGCTTCCTCTCCCATCTCCTCCTTTTTTATCCCTTTTTAGTGTTTTTTTTTTCTTCATAGCACTGAAATTATTTGAAAGTATGGTTTACATGTTCTTGTCTGTCTCACCACAAAAGTCCTTGATGGTAAAGATTTTATCTTTTTTGTCCATTTCTGTATAAGGACACTGTTTGACATGTGGTAGCCTTTCAAAACATAGTTGGTGAATGAATGAAAAAAGACATGAATGAAAATATCAGTACTGGAATCCCATTGTAGTGATTTGAGGAGATATATGGAAACAAGAACTATGATGATTCAAGTTCAGTCAGTGATGAATGCTCCTGTGAAAAGTACAGGAGTGGGTGCCAAAGAGTAATTCAAAGGCTTGTTAAAAAAGTTATCTTGTTAGCTAGAATAACTGTGTTTGCAAAATTCAAAGTTATAAATACCTAAACCAGTAGAGTGATAGTAAGACTAAAACAACTGGTAAAGAAGGCCATGTGTTGAGATGGGACAAAATATGGTTTAAGGGTGCTAGAAAAAACACATATGGTGATTTTCGCTTACTATGGAAAAGCAAAGACCTTTAGATATTGTAAATCTTCTTTTGTAGTTCAAGACCCCTCTTAGAAACTTCTAAAAATTTTAATTTTAAAATTATAGATGCCATTTAGATTAGAATAGAACCAAGAAAATTGTGAAAAGAGGGTTTGGCAGGAGGTAGGTTAGATAATCTACGTTACCTGTCTGTAATTTTCTCCTCTTTACTTTTTATTATTTTAACTTTTTTTTCTCTTCCAAACAATGCTTATGAGGATTTCCTTTCATTATATATTTGTATAATCTTTTTAAAGCTTAATATTTGGTTATCAGAGATGGTGTAGCTTTTTATTTCTTTCTCAAGTGAACAATAATGAAAGTACATTTAGATTCCTAAAATACATGCAAGAAATGAACTTGCATAAAAGACTGGCTTCCGTTTCCTTTCTTTTCAGAGACAGATATTACCAATTTAAAGTGTAGGTCTGTATGCTTCTGTTTTGCTAGATTAAAGACTTCACAATAGGTAGTGGCAAGTATATCTGTGGGAGGTCCCTTTTTAAACTTTTTGCCAGTCATCTCAAAAGAGTAGGTCAGATGTCTTGAAAACGGTTTGTACACTAAGCTTTTTTAATAACATGTCCAAGTTTACTTCTTTATGTTTTATAAGTGAAACAAGAAAAAGGATTGAAATTCATTGTAGGGTTCATAAAATTAAAGCAGTTCATAGTGTGTGAAAGTCTTCTTCAGAAAAGTAATTATTCCTCGTATTTTGGGATAATTGGGAATTATTTAAGCCTCTTATTCTATATTTCTGTTTCTAAGCCTCTGAAAGTTGAAACCCAAATATGTAATCTCTCATGCTTGACATTTCTTTTCATAGGTCATTTCCATTATAATGTTTCCCAGAATTTTGACTAGTTTATTGTGCCATATTTATTTCCGGCAGGAAGATTTTACTATCGGGGCCATGCAGCAGGTGTCACACAGTATTTTTAAAGTAGATTATGAATTCTGTTACTAAATGTGCTACTATGTGAAGCAGAAATGTGTGTACTTATATACAGCTTTTATTATATTTAACTAATAGTAACACATTGCTTTTAATTTCTTGGTTAGAGAAAATATTTCTGTACAGAATATAAGTAACTTTACAGCTCACGTGGACTTCGTACTTTAAAGCCACGTCCCCATTTCACACGTCCTTTCTGTCGTCCCCGGCAGAGCCTCACGCGGGGTTTCGAATAGCTTTCAACATGTTTGACACTGACGGCAATGAGATGGTGGATAGGAAGGAGTTCTTGGTGGTATGTATATTATATGCTGAATGTTACCAACAATTAAATATCGCTTACTTATATTGTATTATTGCAGTGTTGTAGAAGAGTGCAAATTTTATGCTTTCGCCCTAATTTTTAATAAAGAAGTATATTCCCATGTACTCTGAATGACTTTTACATTGTAAATATATAAAATCATAAAGATGATTGTAGTTGTTTACGCATTTTCTGGAAGTTTGAAGTGTGTCGGATGTTTTCTGTGGGGTGTAGCAGGCAGTCCTGAGCTGTTCCGAGTGCCCAGTTCGTCCTCAGACCTCATCTCATCAGCTCCCAGTCACAACTCTGCGCAGGACTTCCCCCGCCGTTCTTCCTTTCCTCGTCGTGCCTTCCTGCCTGTACCCTTCCTGTCCCCATCTTCCTATTCTCTTCGGTCACCGCAGGCTGATCTGAAGTGGGAGGAGTTAGGCTTCTTTTAGGTATTTGTCCTTTGACCTTTCTCCCGACTGCTCCCGTGTTGGTGCTGGTCAGGTGATGACATTCATCTTATCACTTGTCTTATCATTCAACCCTCTTTCCACGATTTTTCAATTTCTAGTTACCCATGTATTTCTACATGTACTTCTGTGGCAAAATACCTATTCCATTTTTTTCCCCTCCAAAATTCCTTACATTAACAAGATCTTCCTTAGCATCTATGTTCAACTCTATATTTACCTATCCCCTCCTAGTAAAAAATGACATATGTATTTATATATATAGCCATTTTATTTTCTATTTTTCCTTTGGAGCAAGCCATTAAAAATACCCTAGAAGTTTTCTTCAGAGGCTGGAATATGGAAGAGAAACTATGAAATCTTTTTTTTTTTCATGGTAGGGAGGAGAAGAGATAAAAATCCTCATCAAAAGGTAATTAGTAACTATTCGAAAGGAAGCAAGCAGAGTAATGACTGGTACATATCAAAAGGCTTAATCTAATGCCCATGTAGCCCTTGCCCCCGAGTACAGTCCCCGAGCCAAGCGGTGGAGCTGGAGCCATGAAGGACCCCTCATTCTAGCGATTGTCAGGACAGCCGGGAGGTGAGAGTTTTCAGTTTCATTACAAAGACAGAGATAAGTTCTTAACATCCTAAAATGAACAGAATTAGTTTTTTATATAGTTTTGTTATGATAATCTACAACTGTACTTTAGGGTTTTCAGAATGGGCCTAGTAATCTAAATAACTATCAGGAGACTTCTGTGGCAACACTGCCAGTGCCAAGTTCCCACCCACTGACTTAAAGGTTGACTTTCGGAACTGAGTCCAGTGGAAGTTGCCTGGGTGGATGTCTTCCGGACGCTATCCCTTTGTGGAGAGGGAGGTGAAAACGTTCCGCAGAGCATTCGATTCCACCCTGTACTCATTAAAGCTGCCCCCGTTGTAAAGTGTGTTTTCTCTTTGTGTGGCTGTACTGCTGCCTCGGTTATGGGTTGTTTGTAAACAGAGTTCTGAAAGCAGAAGGTGGAGTTTGGCTGTTATTTGTAGAAGCTTAAAGTCTATGATTCTCGTGCCTGTTTACAAAGTGATTATTAATAGCTTTAGCTAAACACTTATCACCAAGAAAAGGTGCGGAAATAAATTTTTATGTTAATAAATTATAATGTACACTGTAGTTTTGTTATTTTGTACTTAGGGAGGTAATACATTTTATTTGACTTTTATTTGACTTTCAACTATTGCCCTGCAAAATGAAGTAAAGAGATAAAATAGGTGTTTACATTACACAGACAAGAACAATAGCTTCACCAGAAAACAATAGAGGTAGGATTAGGCCTCCATTTATAAAATAGGATTTTAGAGAAGAAGTAATATCATTTATAATAATAGCTAACACTTATTGAGAAGTTACCATGTGACAGGCAATGTGCTAAGTAATTACTCGTAATATTTACTCTGCACAACATTCTTATAAGAGCTGCCAATTATACCTCCATAAAGCCAGAGGAAAAAAATTGTCCTATAAGATAAGACATTATCTCTAGGTTCCTGGTGTGAGAGACAAGCTTTAAATATTAGAATAACTTGCTCAAGGTGTTTCACATGCAGAGCCCATGCTCCCACCACAGTGCTCAGTTACCTGGAAAGAAAAACCTGAGGAGTCATCTAGTCCATCTTAATTTAATATATGAGCAAACTGGAGCCCCGTGAGGGTTGCATGACCTGTCCGCCACCATAAAATTAGTGTGTGACAGAAGACGGGCTCAACCCCAGAGGCCCTGAGTTCTATTCCTGTTCTTTGTATCCCAGTAGGCTTCATCTCTTTTTATGTGAGTGCCACCAATTCAACGTCTTTGTGTCTGTAAACAAACTATGATTTTGTACGTCTTAACTGTGGGTTGCTGATACCAAAGGATGTATTTTCTTTGTCTCAGGGGAAAAAAAATGGTATCAGAAAGTATATAGTACTTTTAATGTTATGCGTGAATGAAGCTACCTGGATAGGTAGGGACCCAGATATTCTGGTTTGATATTTGACTCTTGATTGGTTTCCTTTTCAGCTTCAAGAGATATTCAGGAAAAAAAATGAAAAGAGAGAAACTAAAGGAGATGAAGAAAAGCGTGCAATGCTGGTAAGAATAATTTATCATAGTTTCAGGTGGGTTTTCTAGATAAAAATTACTTATGTTGAAAACAATAACTAAATTCTGTAACTTTGGAGCTCTCCCTTTCTTGAAAACTTTCTAAACTTCTTATGTAGAAAAACTGCTTTAGTATCGATATCCATTGATATCAGATATTGATATTACACATCTGTATCCATAATTACATTCATGAAATTATTTTTATTCATATTGTTGTTATTCACGAGATTCAATTAATACAGATCATTGTGCATATAAAAATTTAAAGGTGAATTGCAAAGGTTTAATTACACATGTGAGTGAATTTAGTGGTACTGTAACAAAAACAAGGAAATAATATGTTATTTTGCATTCTTAGAAGTATGTATTATAGATTCTTCTGGGATGATGTTTTCTTCTTACTCTGAAGGCAGAGTTAGGCAACATTTCACTCCATTTTCCTACCGATTTTCTTTTGCTTGGACCACGTAGTTCAACCTGACCACATCCCAGGTTCACATAAAAAATGACCAGTACTGAGACCTTACTCTTATTATCTGTAATTATAGATGTGGAAACTGATAGTTGGAAGGGTTAAATATTTTGTCCAAAATTACATAGCAAAGCCAAACTTTGAACTCGGCTGGCCAGTTCAAAATCTACACTTTTACTCACTGTAGCATATTTCTTCATCTAGTACTTAGATAGCAGAAACATGGTGGATTTTATTGGCATGTAAATAATAATCATCTTATTTGCAAATTAGTGATTTGCATTGGTCTACCAGGAATTCAAATAATTAACCTCAGAGAGTTACATTTTTTTATTCTCATTGTTATAAGCATATGTATTCATTTCTATTTTGTTTTTTTTTTTAATCCTCACCTGAAGATGTCTTTATTGATTTTAGAGAGAGAGGAAGGGAGAGACAGAGAAAGAGAAACATCCATGTGAGAGAGAAACGTTGATTGGTTGCCTCCCGTATGTGTCCCTACCGATGATCAAACCCTCAACCTAGGTATGTGCCCTGACTGGGAATCAAATCCACAATATTTTTGGTGTACGGGAGGACACTCCAACCAACTGAGCCACCCAGCTGGGGCTATGTATAAGCTTTTTTAAAAACATGTATTATCTGTAGAGGATGGGTTCCATGTTCAATCCTGATAGATTTATAAAGTATGTATTTACATTTATATTAATAAAAGCAGATTATTAGGATTATGCAGTGCGTATTATTTCATAGCATATTTGACTATGCTATATCACTATTTGTTGACCCACCCCCAAAATACTAATTGACAAAACTTATGGAAGGCACTCTTTAAAAAGCCAAAGAGCTGGTTATAATGTCAGTCAAGTATTAAAGGGGAATTAAGAGTTCTCTAATTCAGGTCTCACAGTTTTCAAATTGTGATCAATAAATCCTATATGAATTAGCCCCATAAGTGCAATTTTTAGAGTATTAGCAAATAACACTAGAGAATTAAATACCTTCAGAAATTTTATTTCCTATAGGTAATATAATATACTGAAAGAGTAAACAGTTATTTTAAATTTGATAGATTAACAGCTGTAATTTATTACATAGACAAGTTGTTAAAATATCATTTAGGAGGTTGAATTATGTTCATTAATCTTGATACAGCTTAGTGATAAAATAGATCGTATTTTAGTGGATAGACATTTAACTGTTTTATTTATTTGTTTATTTATACTACTTCCAGAAAGGACTTAAGGATCTTTCAGTAAGAGTACAGTAAATACTAAGATAATCATTAACATTTACTAAAATATTTAAGTCAGAGTAACAAAGGGACAGAGGGAAGGGAGAAATTATAGCAGACAACTCACACTGGGAAAAACTGTAGGGTCAACACAAAACTTGGCTCTGAACTTCATTGTAGCCCAGGTAAAGTAAATTTAATACGATTTAATGCAAATAGTCTATAACTCATTAACTTGGATTAATTAAGGAAAGTCTATCTGAATTATGAAGTTTAAATTCTATCAGCACACCCAAAATTGTATTATTTTATTTATATGCCTATGGGTCAGTGAAGCATTCCCTAGTAAATATATGGAGAAGGAGACTTGTTTTAAAGAACAAATAAAAAAAACTTGGAAGTAATTTATAACTTGTTTTTATATAAAAGAATGCTTACTAATCATTGATCTCCACTGGGATGTCACATGTATTTATCTTACGTAGTTTAATTAGTATTCCTGAAATCTCATTTACCTAATTTAGCTCAAACTATTTCTTTTTTTTTTTTAATCCTCACCCGAGGACACTTTCTCCATTTTTTTTTTTTGTTCAGATAGAGCGGGAGAGAGAGAAACATCGACGTGAAAGGGACAGACACATCAAGTGGCTGCCACCCACACGACCCAACCAGGGCCAGGGACAAACTGCAACCGAGGTACGTGCCCTCAGCGGGAACCGAATCCGGGTCGGACCGCAGGCCGACACTCTAACCGCTGAGCCAAACCGGCCAGGGCTCAAACTATTTCTTAAAACAGCCTCAGCCCTCTACAACAACACAGTTCTCTACAAACATTTGTTACTATATTTAATGATAAAGATAATTAGTGGTAACTTATTGTTAATAGTCGTCACATTTTAAATTACAAATATGAACTGATGAGATTTTTTAGTTTCGAAGCAATTAAAGTTCAATTTACAGTGAAAATATATGAGTTATATTAGAGAGACAGCATAGCACAGGCTAAGGAGCCAGACTTTCAGGGTGTGAATATTAGCTCTGCCTTTCATTCTGGGTGAAGTTGAAAAAGAAACTTAGCATCTCTGTGGTTCAGTTTCTTCATTTTTACAAAGGGGATAAGAGGAATAATAGTCACCTATAATTGTTATGAGGTTTAAATGAGCTAAAATTTGTAGCCACCTAACAGTATGTGAAATAAACACTCAAAACAAAATTAGTAGAATCGTGTAGCTACTTGAACTGAGTATTTACATACCCAAATCAAAATTAAAACCAAATTTTAAAATATTTACATGCTAAATAAAACTAACTATGCTTCAGAAGGAAAGAGAAACATGAACATAACATTTCTTGGGATACTTCTTGTGTGCTAAACTCTGTTATAGCTGTTTATAAATTTTACTTCTATTTAGTGCTCATTATGTTTTTCCCAGGTAAGTACCATGTCTGTTTTACAGATGAGAAAACATTCTTAGAGAGATTCATTAACTTACCTAAGGTCGTGGTACTAATAAGAGCAGAACAAGATTCTGTCGCAGCTCTCGTACCATTTCTACCTCCGTGCTACTTCATTTAGATCTTCCTCAACAGAACTGCTGAAGTGTGTCCAAAGAAAACTGCATACTTTGAAGGAACATGTTTTACTCAAAGCAATAGCTCTGTCAGAAAGTTACAATGAAAATGGTTGAAGTGAGCACAAATTCATTTAACGTTTAATTATATGAGATTTTTAAAACTTTGCTACTCATCTTTAACACTTATCCCACTTGTGTGTGTGCTCTATGTAGAATGTAGCATAATGATTTGCCCTTCCTAATTAATTGTTTTGTCATCTTTTTCTTTTTTTTCTTTTGCTGTACTTGGGTTCATTCTGAAATGTGACACTTCATTTGGCCCTTTGTGCTCTCTGTCAGCGTCTTCAACTTTATGGATACCATTCACCTACTAATAGTGTATGTACAATACTTTAAATGTTCTTTATGTGACTAGCCCTCACCTGTTATACTTGATGTTATTTTATTATATAAAGCTGTGTCTGCTACTAAAAATGTTTAGGAAGTTATTGAATATGCAACCAAGCCAAATATTTTTATTTCCTTCCTAGATTTATGAGAAGACTAAAATTTACAGAGTAATTGTATATCTTTAACTTTAGATTAAAATAAAAGATGCATGAACAACAACTCTGGTAGAACAATTGAAATATTATAATTTTCAGCAGTATTTAAAGGGTTAAATGCAAATTATGGAGTAGATTTTCAGACTGTGCTCCTGCAGCCACAGGTGTTTTAAGAACTAGATCTACATGTCTGATTCCCTTTCTTTTCTCAATTCTGATACAGAGGTATGTTAATGGGTAGACTTTTCTTAGTTTTCAGTATTTCTCCCAATTTATTTTCTAAAATCTTTGATGCCTGCCTACTTGCCTATGGTCTATACAAAAGTCTGGTATAAGATGACATTGGATATGTTTAATATATCAATGTATCATGTTATTTCTCAAAGATGATTATGATTTTCAGACTCTGTTTCCTGACAAAGTTGGGAGTTCTGTAAATGATCTTCCAAATTTACTCTTCTTATGCTAAGCTTTCTTCCTTTTTGCTTTCTCCTGGGAAGTTGACCTTGTTGGTTAGTGCAGCTACTAAACAACTAAGAATACGTCATGCTCCTTTGAATGATAAACATGCACAATTCATTTAATTTCCCCAAGTTAGAAGGATCCCTCAAATGACACAGATTCCACCTGAGAGAAGGCCTTGAATTCAGGTTGACTGACTCAGGGTTTCTGGCTCAACTTTGTCAGTCCTGCAAGCAGCCATGCACAAAACCTATGTTCTAGATGTGAACATACACTGGAGGCTGATTCAGCATAACATAAACCTCAGGTATCTTGCCCAAGTCAAAGGAATGGACCTAGAATGGGTTGGAGAACAAGCCAAGCCCTTAGGGACCCATATGACGGACTAGTTATTCTGATTCCTTACAAGATACTTACATTTTTTTTCTATAAAATCTACTTTTTGTCATTAAATAAGGTCTAATATTTTCTTAAAATTTTAAAAAGGTTTCTGTTAATCATTTCAAAAATTGCTAAGACTGTGAAAGAGAGAAGTCTTACGTTTTATAATGCCATATGCCCTGTGAAACTTAATAAATGTTAGTACTTATGACTTTATTATTTATGTTTTTAATCTGATTTGCTGTTGCATGAGCCATTTTCCAACTGTGGCAATTTATAATTTTCCTTTAAATTTATAAATAATTATCACCCTGGCCAGTTTGGCTCAGCAGTTGGAGTGTTGGCCTGCGGACCAGAGAGTCCCGGGTTCAGTTCCCACTAGGGGCACATACCAAAATAAATAAATAAATAAATAAATAAATAAATAAATAAATAAATAAATAAATAAATAAATAAAATTCATAAATAATTATCAATAAAATGCAAGCAAACAAGGGAAATTCATTTAAAATTAGAAAAAATTCAGATAGCCTAAAAATTTATATGAAATATCATTGATGTATATATTGCACAAATATATTAGTATAATATTATGAATTAACTGGTAATTATTTGATAATTTCCAGATCTGTAGAGCAACTGGAGTGATAAAGTATCTAATTGGAGTACAGTTCATAGAGCTGAGTATAACCTAAGATTCTACCTGTAGGAAGAAGTTCTTCAGTCAAGGCAGAGGCCCTCTTGACTTTTACCACAGAGGCAGAGATTCTGTGTCTTCTGTAGTAGCCGGAACCAGAATTTAATCACTCCTACAATAGATTTTACCTGTATTCTGTCAAGTCATTTTTTTGCTATATTACTTGCTTCAGTATTCATGACGATCACTGCCTTATAACTTTTTCTGTACCAAACAACCTTGATTCTTTTCACACTTCTCATATAGCCAACTCCTGATTATCTTACCACTGTAATAAAAAGATATATAAAAAAGTCAAAAGACTAAATAATGCAAAAGTTAAGTATATTTGATTTTGGCATGCCTTACGTGACTTTTTAAAACATTTAAAGATTATCTTTACCATATTTCCAATGTTATTTTTAAAATGTACTAATTTTTAGACAGTTTTTTGACACACATTGAGATTTGTTTTATGGACTAAAATAATTTCATTATTCATAAAGACCTGTGTTTGAAAAAAATATGTATGATCCAATTTGGGGTATGGGATTATATTTTTAAGATAATATATATCAAAATATATATGTTAGATCAAATGTTATATGCTTTAAATCTCTCTTATTACTAATGTTTTTGTCTGCTTGATCTGTTGATCAATATGTTAAACTATACATTACAATGATAGACGTTAATTTCTACTTATAATTCTGTTATTTTTTATTTTGTATATTTTGAAACATTGTTATTGCCTATTTTAGAATATAAATTACTTAAATCTTTTTAGTGAACTGAATCTTCTATTACTTACGTACTATCCCTTGATCTCTGGAAATATTTTTGTCTCAAAATCTATTTTTTTGTTAAAATAAATATACTACCTTTATTTTTGTTAATATTTTGTTATTTATCTATTTTGTGTTTTTTTATTTTGTGTTTTTTTCTTCTAGTGATGATGAAGCTTTTCCTGATTTTTAAAATATATTTTTAGTTCAGAAATTTACTGCAAATAAAATATAAATAAAATAATAAGAGTTTAACCACCAAATGGATAAAAAAAAAATATGCCATGCCCCCAAAAGCTCCTTCATATTGTCTCTCCAATCATAATCCTTTCCTCTTCTCCAAAAGATAAATACAATTATGACTTTTACGTAAATCACTTCTTTGCAGTTTTACCACCTACTTATGTCTGCATCATAAATAATATAATTTAGTTTTACCCGTTTTGGAACTCATATAAATGGAATCATACCAATGAGTTGTTCCATGTCTTTCTTCTTTGACTCAAAATCATCATTGTCAATTTCTTTCTCCTTGTATCTAGTCCCAGCCTAGTTCATTCACTTTTATTGCTTAAGCAACAGTTCTCAAACATTTTCATCTCAGGACCCTTTTACATCATTAAAAATTATTGAGGACCCAAAAGAGTTTTTGTTGATGTTAGTTATATCTATCTGTATTTACCATATTAGAAGTTAAAACTGAGAAATTGAATAATATTTATTATCCATTTTTAAATAAAATCTCATGTTAACAAATATTTTTATGAAAAACAACTCCAAAAATGTAGTGAGTACAGTGGTATGTTACGTTCTTTGAAAATCTGTGTACTGTCTGGCTTCATAGAAGACAGCTGGTGTCTCATAGATGCTTCTGCAGTCAGTCTGTTGCAGTACTGTATGTTATTTTGGCAACAAATACTATCAATTGCTTCTCTTGGAGTGACAGGCTCACTTGGTTCATTAAAAAAAAAAAATGTCTGCCAGATACCGAAGTCTGAACAACAATAGATTATCTATCAGTTGTTCTTTCAAGCAAAAATGGTTGTTCATGAAAAAAGTGGCCACTTCCCTTTTCAACACAAATCACCACGCACATGTTTTCCAAAGGCACGCATATTGCTTCGGTAGGCAGAAGCCCTTTATGCATGCTTCCAGTTTCATCTCCTGAATACTGAAAAGATGTGTGCTCAAAGGTCAGTTTAACAAAAGTGTGTTTGTTCTTCAGCAAATACATTCGTAAATGAAACTTTTTTTTTTTTTAATGTGAGTATGTGGAAATGAAGAATGTAATCGCTTTGGTCTTTGATGCCACTGCTCTCCTTAGACCAAGGCTTCAGTGGTTTTACCCTCCGCTGCTTTTGCAACATCAGTGAGACTGTCAACACAGTGCCAAAGGCAAAATAATGCTTTTAAGATGCTTCGAAGAAGATTTGTTTTATAGTTTTTCCAGCTTTTTCGTGTATTCTTAATGAGAAGATTGGTGCTCTTTACTAGCCTGACATTAACAAAAACCTGGTATATCTTTTTCAACCTCTTTCCTTATATTTTAGGTGTGTCTTTATTAAAAATATATTTTGTTGGTTCCTTTTTATATGGGTTATCTGTGCTTTCTAATTGGATAATTTTATTAATTTATATTACTGTGATTAATTTATTTGGATTTATTTTAACTATTCTATATACTTTTCTTACTTACCTTCTTTTTATTTTCCTCTGTATTCATTTAGAAAACATTCTACTCTATTTCCTCTGTATTCTTGAAATTTTAATAAGTATACTTAAAATACAGTCTTAGATTAGGCCATATCTTTACTCTCTTCCTTAAAAATATTCCTTTTTTTTTTTTTTCATCCTCACCCAAAGACATTTTTACATTTATCTTCAGATAGAGCAGGAGGGAGAGGGGGAGGAAGAAAGAGAGAGAGAAACACTGATGTGAGAGAGACACATTGACTGGCTGCCCATATGACCCCAACCTGGGCTGGGGACAAACTGCAACCGAGGTATGTGCCCTTAGCAGGAACTGAACCCAGGACTCTCTGGCCCACAGGCCAACGCTCTAACCACTGAGCAAAACTGGCCAGGGCTAAAAATAGATTCTTAAAGTGCTTTACTATCTTTCATTCCCCTTCTGGCATGGGTACTTGAAATTGCATAATGTTTGCCTTTGACTTTTTTTTTTTTTTTAACATTTTTTTTCTTTATTGATTTTAGAAAGAGAGGAAGTGGAGAGGGAGAGAGAGAGAAATATCAGTGAGAGAGAACATCAGTTGGCCACCTCCTCAAGTGAGGGTCTTCTGGTAAAAATTTTAAAACACTAGTCTGAAAATATCTTTATTTTGCCCTTATTTCCCCCTAGTTTTATTGAAATATAATGGACATATAATGTATTAGTTAAAGTTTTACAACATAACGATTACAACAATAAATTTAGTTAACATTCATCACCTCACATACTTATAATTTTTTTTCTTGTGATGAGAAGTTTAAGGTCTCAGCAAGTTCCAATATACAATACAGTATTGTTAACTATAGTCACTATGCTGTACATTGCATTATTTTTTAAAATATGTTTTATTAATTTCAGAGAGAGGAAGGGAAAGGGAGATAGATAGAAACGTCATGAGAGAAACATTGATTGCTGCCTTCTGTACGCCCCCTACTGGGGATCGAGCCTCCAACCCTGGGCATGTGCCCTGACTGGGAATCCAACTGGTGGCGTCCTGGTGCATGGTACAGTGCTCAGCCAACTGAGCCACACTGACCTGGGAGTCTGCACCTTCTAACCACCTTCACCCACTTACTCATCTCTACTCTGACAACCACTAATCTGTTATGTTTCTATGACTTTGCAGTATTTTTTAAAAATTGAAGTATGGTTGACATATAACATTGTATTAGTTTCAGGTGTACAACAGAATGATTCAATATATAAATATGCCCTTATTTTAAAAGATAATTTTACTAGATATATTATTGTAGGTTGACACTCTCAGCAAATTATGATGTCATTCCAGTCTTCTGGTTCCTGTTGTTGAAATTGAAAAGTCAGTTCTGAGAACCAAATAAAATGTTTAGAAATGAATATCAGAACCACTGAAATTTAATATCGTATTATATATAGCTGCAGACAGAATTAGTAAACTGGAAAATAATAAGAGTAAATTATATAGCATGCAATGTGAAAAGATAAAAATATGGCAAATTGTTAAAGACAAGTTTAGAGACGTGGATATCTATGAAAGCTCCAGATGTTTTTATTGGTCTGTTTTTATTGTTTGTTGTTTCTGCTAGTTCTCACTTATGGTAGTTTATGTTCTTTTATGTTTAGTAATTTTGTATTTTTAGCATATATTTGTTGGAATGCATCTGTGGGGATTCTTTAAGGACTCAGTTAAGGGTGTGTTTTTCCTGTGAAGATGTGTGTGTGTGTGTGTTTCTCTAATACATGAAGAGGAACTACAGTCACATGTAACTTTAAATTACAATTCTCAGACTGTAGTATTTCAGTCCACAGTTTCATAGTGGCACAGATTATGAAGTTTTATGTTTTTCTCTCTGCATTTTAAGTATCACTAATAGTAAAGACAGTTTACTGTCTGAGTGTATGGCCTGCTATTTGGTTGCTATTTTTTCAGTTTGCCTAATCTCTCTGAGTGTAAACATTCTCAGACCCTAACTACATATATGATATTTTCCTGTCTGGACATGGACGACTTTAGGGAGCCATTATTCTGCATTCCACAGTGATACATTCCCATCTCTAAATCAGTCTTCCTTTTTTCTAACTTCCTTTTTTCTTCCTTCTTTTCATCTTTACTTTTCCCCTTCTTTTATTTCCTTCCATTTTTCCTTCTTACTGTTCTTCTGTCTTAGTCCATTTGGACTGCTGTAACAAACTACCATAACCTGGGTGGCTCATAAAGAACAGACATTCCTCACCGAATGGAAACTGTGAGGTCCAGGATTGTGGAGCCAGCAGATGCAGTGTGGTAGCGACAAGGGCCTGCTTCCTGGTTCACAGACAGCACCTTCTCGCTGTGTCCTGACATGGTGGAAGGCGGCATGGGAGCTCTCTTGGGCCTCTGTAATAGGAGCACTAATCCCATTCATGAAGGCTCTGCCCTCTTGACATCATCCCTTTGCATGGGCCTCACCTCCTCCTGATACCATCATCTTGGGGATTAGGATCTCAACGAATTTTTCAGACCATAGCTCACCCTTTCCTTCCTTCCTTTCTTCCATTTTATTTCCTTCCCTTTCTTTCCTTCCTCCTTCCCTCCCTCCCTTCCTTCCTCCCTCCCTCCCTCCCACCCTCCCTCTCTCCCTCCCTTCCTTCCTTTCTTCCATTTTATTTCCTTCCCTTTCTTTCCTTCCTCCTTCCCTCCCTCCCTCCCTCCCTCCCCCTTCCTTCTTTCCTTCTTTCCTTCCTTCCTTCCTTCCTTCCTTCCTTCCTTCCTTCCTTCCTTCCTTCCTTCCTTCCTTCCTTCCTTCCTTCCCTTTTTCTTTCTATCATAAATGTCACGGAATGCCTTGCATAAGATGATGCTTTGGCTCAGCCAAAAAGGCATAAGGAATTCTTGACCAAAACTGCAAAGTTTAAGGAAGTTCTACTAATAACAAACTAAACTTAGGCTGAGAATATGTCAGACTTACAGGATATAGTATATTTGGGACATCATTTTGCCTTTACCACTCATTTTAAAGTTCTTCTAAACTATCTGAGTTTTACCTCTTTAAATGAAGGCCTACCCCTACCTTACATTCTAGTAAGGAGGCCTAAAGCTCAGAGAGTCATCAAAGACACCAAGAAGACTGAGGAAGTCTTTGCCAAATTTTCTACTGTTTACATATGAAAGTATTATAATGTCTGTTTTATAACCATCATAGTATTCAGTTATATTTGGGTATATTGCCCTATCAGTCCTTCCTTAGCCTGCATGTGTATGTTCTGAGTTTGTATTTGATTTGTATTTCATGCTATTAAAATCTATCCTGATTTTTATGGCTACCTTAAGTTTATTTTAAATATACTATTATATTTTGCTGGTATTAAAGATTTCTACTAGTTATGCATGTTCTGAAAATTTACTTTTAATTACATCATCCAAGTCATTAATTAAATAATTAAATACTGGCTCCTGAAAAGACACACATATAGGAATCTTTGACTGCCAGGAAAATCACTGGTGTATTGGCCATGTTTTCCCATTAATTATATACCAGATATTATTTAACACAAGGCATGACAGTAGTTGCTGTGAGAGTAGTGTCCTTTCCCTCAGAAACTTTATAATGTAAAGGAGTCTTTAAGATAATTGTGGCAATTCAGTTACATAATTCTAGTATAATCTAACCTTTGGAGCTAAATAAAAAGTGGAAACATTTTCTGCAGGAGGGAACTATTAAGCTGTTATGTTCCAAATAAAACCTGTTTTAAAAAGTTATATATTATCCTGATAGATATATACATTCTTATTTTAAAATATAGGAATGCAAAAAGGAGAAAATAAAAAAAATATATATTCAAATGCCACCACTCAGAGATAATCAGTATGTTGGAGTATATTTATCTCTTTTCTGTGTACAGGAAATATATTTTTCTATAGAGGTCCATGTCAGTAGAGTAGTTTAGTCTTATTTTCTAGTTGATAGATTTAACAGTCCTTTTCTTTATCATATACTAGTAACTTCTAAGTTACAATTTAAAAATATATCCATGTTCTAAATATTTAGATAATATTTTCAGAGTATTTAATCTAGTTCCCATTTATTGAGGTCCTACCATACCTATATGAAAGCAAATGAACTGCGTCAGTTCTATATTCAGCTCATTGTACTTATTTAGCTTATAATTGTTAGTTAAAGCTTGTTTAGTTACTAAAGACGGTGATGAGCAGATCTCTGTCATATTGCTAAATTTACACTTATGGTAATAAATATGTCTGTGCTATAAAAGGGACTCTTGCTAAATAATACTAAATTATTAATGTATTTAAAGATTCTATTAAAATAAAGGCAATAGGCAGTGCTTTCTAGTTAACAATGCATTGAAACTTAGATCTTTAAAATAATTCTCAGATGCGTTGTAATTTTATTGGTGGCATCGGACTTTTAAAAATTAATACACACCAAAATAAAAGTTCTCTCATCATCAGCCACTCACTCCTGAGTGTACTGTGCAGCATTTTCTTCCCACAATCACCAAAAGAACACCAAGCCTGAGAACGTGGAGAGTCTTCCCTGGTAAATTTGGACAAAAATTGCATTTAATTATTTTTGAGTCTCTATAAACTCGTACATATATAGACTCTGTAAACTCTTAAGCTTATAGTTCTGCATTTTCATATGAAGATTAGATGATACTTCTTAGTCTTGATATCACCTTCTTCAGACTAGCCAATACTGAGGTAGAAGCTAGTGTTCTGTCCTTATAGTAGATCAGAAAGTCCCTTATCTATTCACAACAGACACACACATCAAATCCCTGAGTAGCTTTGTGTAGTTTGATATAACTGGCTTATTTCTTTTTGACAAATTTTGGATTAATTTAAATTTGGTTTCTCTAAAGTGTGGATATGGTCATTTTGGTTCTTTGATGCACTAACACAATGTATGCTAGCCAACACTAATTCATTTTTAAATTAATCCTGATTCTTATTGGTTGCTACAAAATTCCCCAAACTTTCTACAAATGAATTTACTTCACATCAGATGTGAATAAAATTTTTATTTCACACTTTCTTAGAAGTTACACGTTTCAGTAGTAGTAGGGCATGGGGGAGGGGGTGAAGAATATGATTCTTTTTGACAAAGCCACATTGTACTTTGAAAGAGTGGTTATATACCATTACACCTTTGAAAGTACCCCAGCTTTAGCAGCAGTGTAATTTAATACTGTTGTGTGCAGCAGAAAACAAAAAAGGTAAGCTAATGTGTTTTCTTTTCAAGGTTGGCTAGAAGAGATTTAAAGTGTATAAATTATCGTTCTTTGTGACTATTCTTTAGATTTCAGTTGTGCTTCTTAAAACCTCTACAGGTACTTAAAACAGATGCTGAGGAACTTGTCTCCAGAAGCTATTGGGATACACTGAGACGTAATACAAGCCAAGCACTCTTTTCAGACCTCGCAGAGGTATAATTAAACCTCAACCGGGTCGTACTATTTATTTACCATTTTGTTAATCTCTTCCTCGTTTATTTCAGTCACAATGATGGAACCTAAAATATATTTTATATGTTTCCTTTTCTCCAGTAAAGCAATAATTTCTAGATATAAATGGTGAATTTGAATGTATCAGCTGTGCTGGCAGAGGCTGCAAGGTCACCTGTAATAGTCTATGTTAAATCAAATTGCTTGTAGAAAACATGGCTTTCTAGCTTAACTAAAAGGAAATATTGTTATTTTTAACTTAAGGATTACTTTCAGAAATTTTGAAAATACTATTTCATAGTTTCACAGATTCTTCTAACCTTATAACTTGCAATGTTACATGAAATGCTGAAACTTTTAACTTTGGTAAAAAATATCTAATGCTCTAGGGTTACGGGAGATTTAAACACTTAAATTTCCTAATATTAATAGAGAGTAGCTTACCAAGGGTGGGGTGTGGAGCAGGTGCAGTAAGAGCAGTCAATCAAGGAAGGGAAGAACATTTCACCTTGACCTTGTTTAGGATGGCCAGTGCATGGAAAATAAAAAGCAGACTGACTGTTATTTGTGTGTGTTTGAATCGTGTAGAGACACACACCTTATTGCTGCACTCAGACTGCTCCCAGCACCCTACTCTGATCATGCCACTGTTAATAGGGATTTGTCATTTTAATAGGGCTGTGTTTTGTAGATTACACACTGTTTGTGTTTTAAGAAATTTTCTTATTGATTTGAGAGAGAGAAACATCAATTTGTTGTTCCATTTATTTGTTACTTATGCATTCATTGGTTGATTTCTTGTTTGTGCACTGACTGGGGATCAAACTCACAACCTTGGCATATTGGGATGATGCTCTAACCAACTAAGCTATCTGGCCAGGGCTTATTGTTTGTTTTCTATTAAGAATTTTTTTTTATCCTCACCCGAGGACACTCTTCCATTTTTTATTCAGATAGAACAGGAGGGAGAGAGAGGAAGAGGGAGAGAGAGAAACATCGATGTGAAAGGGACATGAGTGGCTGCACGACCCAACCAGGGCTGGGGACAAACTGCAACCGAGGTACATGCTCTTAGCGGGAACCAAACCCAGGTCTCTCTGGACCGCAGGCCGACACTCTAACCGCTGAGCCAAATTGGCCAGGGCTCTATTAAGAATTTTTAAGAACTTTTCTAGAGATGGCTGTCACTCTTACTACAAATGACTTTGCAGTAAATACTAAGAGATGTATTTTTCATTAGATTTTTCTTTATAAAGTTGGTTTCTCGCTTCTTTTTCTAAAGTTTGACTTTTAAAAGTTACACCTAAAAATATCTAGAGAAGTAAACTGGATCAGGTATAATTTCTGTTATTTATATATACAGTGTTACTCAATTGATACCTCTAGAATAGGGCAAACCCTTAGAAATGTTCATTTCTTGTCAATTGTGCTCAATTTTAAAATCCCAAAACAAAGAAAGCATTTTCCCTATCTCTAATCTGTCTTTGATATATCAGTATGATATAATTATGATGAGAAATTAATCTTTTAAAATTACCTTTTAAATCTGAAGTATTTTTAGGCATAAAGTGGTAATAGATGTTCCATTTATAGACATTTTATTATTATTTTTAATCCTCACCTGAGGATATTTTTCTATTTATCTTCAGATAGAGTGAGAGGGACACATCAACTGGCTGCCTCTTGCACTACCATGAACTGCAACCGAGGTATGTGCCCTTGACTGGAATTGAACCCATGACTCTTTGGTCCAAGGGCCAGTGCTCTGCCGCTGAGCCAAACCAGCCAAGGACCATTTATAGACAATTTAGAAGTGTTGAACTCTGTCATCTGTGCAGGACAAAGTAAAGGCACTACTATGAGCCTTTACTTTTCAGTGCCTAAAAGTAAGAGCAACGCAGGACCCTGTGAGTCCGTACAAGCCACTGTGGCCTAGCTTCCATTTAAGTCATGTCACTGTTCTCGCTCCCTGTGCCGGACTCTGTCCACCTCTCAGCTTCCAACCTGTCTTTAATCTCACTGGACTCTGCTAAACATTCTCACAATTAGACACAATCTGTTAACTAGATGTTGAATTTAATTCATATCCTGGGAGGTTTAATAGCAGAAGGCCCGTCAGCTCTTATATGCACTCAAAGATTATAAAAGATTATAGGATCTTTTGAAGATAATTCTCACTCTGTCAGAGGTATGCTGGAGCGGACTTTTTTGGCTTCTCACAGCTAATTCTGCACATCTCTTCCCAACTCATCCTTCTGTTAAATCCCGTTGGTACTTTAAAAGTGCCCGTGGTAGGAGTATTAATACCATAGGAATTGGCAAACACTACAAACCAGGCTTTTTTCCCAGGTGAGCCTGTTTACCAGCACACTGTTGGCTGTAGTCAATCCATTCTGTCATCATAAGATGCTAAATTAATTAATAAATTGATGCAAACAGCATGAAAGTAAATTTGACGGAGAAGAGAAGGTAGAAAAGAAAAAGAAGAAAACAAAACATATTGTATTCCAAAGAAAAATAATTATTTAGGAATAATCTCTGTTATCACCCTCCCAGAGAGGATAATGGAAAATTAAGTATATTTAAGTTACAACTCATTCTAATTCCTTATAGGTTACTACTGATGCCAATGTAACATTGAATTGTTTATAGTATCAGTATTTCAGGATTCAAATTGGTACAGAAAGAAAGCTTAGAAATCTGTTTATTAGTTTCTCATGTTTTTAATATAAATATTGAAATAAGCATTTTCCTTAAATATTGTAGGTAAATTTGAGATTAGCCTCTCATATTCTTATTCCAGAGCTGTTTCTAACAACAGATATTTTTCAATCATAGTAAAACCATACTATAATAAAATTTGAATATGCCACAGCTAACACAACTTTCTAACCAAAATAATAGTAAATGAATTTATAGTACAATATAATCCTCTCTCAAACATCTGTTGAATACAGTCTGAGTTACCAAATTATAAACACTATTTTGAGTTTTATAGCTGAAATTTAAAAGTTTTTGTTTGCTTTAAACTTTACTTGTCCTGCCCTGGCCGGTTTGGTTCAGCCGTTAGAGTGTCGGCCTGCAGTCCCGAGAGACCCGGGTTCAGTTCCCACTAAGGGCATGTATCTCGGTTGCAGTTTGTCTCTGGCCCTGTTTGGGTCGTGCAGGTGGCAACCACTCGATGTGTCCCTTTCACGTCGATGTTTCTCTCTCTCTCTCTCTCTCTTCCTCTCTCTCCCTCCCACTCTATCTGAACAACAACAACAAAAAAATGGAAAAATGTCCTTGGGTGAGGATTGAATAAATTAAATAAATAAATAAATAAACTTTATTTGTCCTTAATAAGTTTCAATAGATTAGTCAATGAATGGAGTTTGAAGATTTCCTCCAGCCCTTGGATAGAGCTTGAGAAGATTATCACATTGTAATCAGTAGAAATATGTTGACAGGATATTCTTAAAATCCTTTCTTTTAATAGTTTGACATATTTTTACTAGATGCAGATTTACTAATCTGTTTGTTTGGTTTTTTAATGAAATCATCTAAAGTAAATTTTAATCAAAACAAAGTCAGATAATGGCCTTTCATGTAAATGACCCGTGGGGTTCTTTTGTGGCAGTTTCTTGCTTTGTTATGAAAACACCTGAATTCATTTTATTTTAACAATGAGCACAAGAATCAAAGGGACGAAGGCTCTATTTTTGTCTCAGCCCTCCTGTGATGTAAGTTATATAACACTGTCAGGATACCAAGGACTCAAGTATGGTTTTCTGTGATTCCCAACAGTACTCTGTTTCATTGAAAGGGGGTGGAGGGGAGGGAGTTTTCACCATTTCCATTTTCTAATTTTTTTTCTCTAATGTCAAACTTTTACTTATGCCTCTGTGGGTCTGGATTATCTGGATAAGTGCAACCTAAGTCTAATAAGATTTTCGTGATGAAAGACTGTAAATGAAGATCTACTCTGCTCTGTGGGCATGAGAAAAACTGGCTGAATGAGGTCATTATTTAGAACCTGTATAAAACAAAGCCATCTTAGTCCAGTGTATTATGTCTGCAAGTAAAGGACATCACAACACTAGAGAAAGCATTCCATAATTATGTTATCTGACTTTAGGTATTTCTATAATGTCTCAATGTAAGGCATTTTTAAAAGATCTATATAACATACACGTGTAGTTTCAATAACAAAAAAGAAGTAAACGTGTACCACGTAAAAATCTGGTTGGTTGTTTTTGCATTAAGCTTCGACATTATTATCATTTCTATCTTGTCCTTTTTCAACTTCTTGAAACACAGTGATTTGGCGAAAATAATGCTAGCTAACATTTATTGGGCCTTTACAGTGTGCCAGTTATAGTGCTAAATGATTTATATGTGTTACCTGTACCTAATACAACAAGCCTTCAGAGTAGGTACTGGTGTTATTTCTGAGGGTAATAATGTCCTCAGAGAGACTGACTTCCCCAAGGTCACTTAACTATAAGGAAAAATGTCAGAACTCTGACTCTTGAGTTCATCATATCTGCTCACACTACTGCTTATTTGTGAAGGAGCAGTTTTTTCTAAAACATCATCCCTCCTTCTGTAATCCATCATGTCCCTCTCCATGTTCCGTTCCTCCAACTTCCAGGTGGATACCCCAGTTACTTGCTGACTTCTGAGCCTCTCTCCTATGCTTCATTTAGGCATGCCCTCTCAAATATTTTCTTCCCCTACTGATTTAAGCTGCTCCATGGACAATAAACTGATTAGACTTGATTGTATACAATCACACAAAAAATGTCTATAATTAACGAGATATCCACCACCCCAAGTCTTACGCATTTTTTCAAAGCTGCTTACAACTACCAATAAGAACATTTGTATATTTCTTTTACATTCATATTCTAATTTTAGCCTCAAAATTATTATTATAGATAGGGTTATTCCCATTTTATAGATCAGGTAGCTGAAGGTCAGAAAGTCGGTCAACCAGGCGTTCTCATTTCAAATCCTGCATTTCCGTTACAGCAGTCAGCCTCCTCAACCCGCAGCCGCCGGGGAGGGCAGTAGTGCCTTTGGAGCACTGCCCCAAATTACCCCAGTCTGCTGGCATGTATGGAGCCCTGAAAGGCTGGTACCACTAATGTTCCTCAGCATCCATGGTAGGCTTGCTCAAGAAGGGGTACTTCACAGGTGGTGCAGGAATGACACCTGGTTTCCTAGCTGTGTTGTTTTCCCACTAGCAGTCAGATCTTCAGAGAACGCCCTTATCCCAGAGAGAACTTCTGGGTTATTCCAACTCCTGAAAATACTTGGGATTTATCAGCAAACAAAACTGAGAAATAGTAGAGATCTTCTAAACCAATTACAAGGAGGTTATGTGCTAGAGATTACCTAGAAAAATTCAAACTAAATTACTTAAATATAGACTAGATGATTAATAAGAATTTCAACAATTTTAGATAATTGAAAGTAGAAGATATCCTACATGTTGGAGTTTTTAAGAGAGGCATGAGTACTCGATGTAGCAGAGAGATCACTTTAGAAAAAGTGTCTTGCATTAAAAGAGGGCATGTTGGAGGGAAAAGACGAATCGGAAAATGGAGCCTCTGTGACCCCATACTAGTTGTTAGAAGAGAATTATACTTGGATTAGGGAGAAATAAAGATCCTATCAATGTTATGAAGGATAAAATAGCTATCTTCATGAAAGATTGGAAAGAGGGCTATAAGGAATCAAAGGATTACCAAAGTTTAGAGTGTGGAAGAGGAGAAAAGTGATCCTTTGTAGGGAAGTATATACTTTCTATTTCTTGTGTTTTTATGGAGTACTTATTGTCAGGATTCTGGCTGAGAAGTAATACGTTTCAAATATGTCCCTTTTAGTAGAGAAATTGGTCATTATTATGTAGCCTCTTATATTTTCAGGATGATATGTTGGAGAGGCACAGTTATGTGAAATGTATCCTTTTTTACCTGAATTTCTAAGATAGGTGTGAGTTAAGGGCCAAGTGAAGAAGGAAGGGAAGGGAACAGATGGGGAGGAAGGGACCGAAAAGAAAGGAAAAACCTATAAAGCTACATAAAAGCAAAGAATGAAGATTTTCCATAGGCCATTGAACTTTATAAAGGACTATAATTAAGCTATTTTAAGAAAATACTTGTTGGAACTTGGTTTATCAAGTTGAGTGAGAAAGGAAAAACCCTCTGGAATTTTTCAAAAAATAATGTAAGAGTTCTCTTTGAAAAACATTATAGATGATGTAAATTCCAAAGTAATACGACTGTAGTTTCTCTTTCAAATTATAATATCTTCTACCTAAAGTACCATAAATATGGAATGCAATAAAAAAAGTGTGATGGTTAAGGAAGCTATTTTGTAAAGCTTGAGACCATTCCTTTGTCAGCCTTATATTCAGTACATCTGAAGAATTACCTCTTTTGAACATCCTAAAAAAAAATGGATTTTTTAGGTTAAGAAAAGTCATACTAGAAGTAAAAATAAAATATTTTGATGATTACTAAAAGAGTTCAACTATTTTAGATAATTTAAAATATAGATACCCTAATTAGAGGTATAAAACTTCCTAAAATATATAATCATATCTTTAAAATTATTTGAAGCTAAAGATAGATTTTATTCATATATCTGTTTTCTAATTTTTAACTTCATTTTAACTGTAATGACATTTATTAATACAGCCTTATACTGTTTATTCTAACATTAATATATTTGTGTTCTGGATATTTATATGTTGATAAAAATCTCTGAGGGATATTGGGTATATCTATTCTGTTTGTTTATTGCAGCTAACCTTTAAATTGTGATTTTGTTTAAAAGCGTGCTGATGACATTACAAGTTTAGTAACAGATACTACACTTCTTATACACTTCTTCGGAAAGAAAGGAAAGGCTGAGCTCAACTTTGAAGATTTTTATAGGTAAGCTTAATTTTTGTATTTGTATTGAAGGAAATGCTAATGTCAGAAAGGTCTTTAGAATCACCTAGTGCAGTGATACCTCATTGCTGCTTTCATCTTAACTGAAGGTATTAGGTTTAACAAATGTCCACTTCTATCAGTACCAGTATTACAGTGGTTGTATTGATAAGTATACTAGGAAGTCAGTGAATGATCAAACTGTCTGGATATCGGAATTGTTATTTCCAATACATTTGGAAGCACTGCAGTAAATACTAGACACTACATATTAAGTCCTTAAATCTCCTCACTACCTTGCAAGGTATTTTGGTTATCCCCATTTTACAACTGAGGAAGCCAAAGACCTGAGAGGCTAAGTACCATCTGTTATCGTCACTCTTCATTTATTTTATTCATTCTTTATGTACTTTTGTCATAGATTCATGGATAACCTCCAAACAGAAGTTCTAGAAATAGAATTCCTTTCCTACTCTAATGGGATGAATACCATCAGTGAAGAAGATTTTGCTCATATTCTTTTACGATATACAAATGTGGAAAATATATCAGTATTTTTGGAAAATGTGCGTTACAATATTTCTGAAGAAAAGGTATCTAGTCCCCCATATTTATTGTGTTGCATGTGTTATTATCTTGTAATCACATAGGTCTCTAAAATATATTGTCCTTTGTTTGTTCTTTTGCTCTTCTGTGGATTATTACTTTGGCTATATAATTTGTTTTCCTATATGTTGTAAGTGTTCTGGCTAAAATTTAAAAATTGATTAATTCGATATTCTGTATAGATATTCATACTTTTCTCAGATATGCTAAGAACCGTTAATGTTGTTAACAGTTGTTTTATTCAAATTGCAAATATCATTTTTCAAGAGAATTCTGCTGAGCTCTATGCTTTGACTACTACATAAACATCACCTCATTTAAGCAGTTTATATTGACCTCAGTTCAGTCACACTTATTCATTTCTATAACATCCTTAGTAAAAGGTCATTTGAAGATGGCCATTGATGAGTGAGTGATCTTATCAGCAGTTGAAGTGAGGTTTTTCAAAGAGTTTGGGTGGCATGAATGGTTAAGAACTTGGAACGACTGATTGTCTATTTGTTTAGCAGCAAGTGTTTTGTCAGCAATTCTGCGCAGTTGTGCATTATCTAGTGGTATTTGAATGCATCATTGCAACCAAATAGAACTGGTGTTACAAGTACCCCTTCAAGCATGGGATGTTTTGGATATATTGCCTTCTGTTTGTGTTTGTAGAAGGATCAAGTTAATCTCTCCAAGAAAAACTTGCAAATAGTTTGACTTTGTTTAAAATGGATACACGGTGACAGTGCTAACAATTCTTCTTGTCCCCTAAGAATGAAAAAAAAGGAATTGATGCATTTGGCCATTAGTTATACATAATCTCTTAATTAGAGGTCTTTTCTCTGTTTTACATGTTAAACTGATTTTTTCCAACTCTTAGACACTTCCCTAAAAATAAATATTGGAGATTGTACTATGTCAAACTACTAGGGTATTTTTAGAGCCTTAAAGAATCTGCTTTTTAAATTCTTTTACTATATGGAAACTTATAGAAATCTATAATTCAAAAAAATTAATTCTAGGGTGAAGAGTGTATGGGACCTCCTTGTGTTGTTTTTGGAACTATTTTTTACATCTAAAATTATTTCAAAATAAAAACTTTTTTTCTAAGTTAAATTCAGCTTCTGAAAACTTCTAATTGACAGAACACTACAAATCATTACAGTAAAAAGGGGAAATTTTTGCAAATGAACCAATACTGATTCTCATTGATTTCTTTTTGGAACTGTCTGTCTCATCAATCCTTAAAACATCTTCCAGATATTGACATCTTTCTTTTAGAAAAGGGGAAGCTGAGGCTCTTGAGTACTTACATACTTGCCCAAGGATTCAAACCCCAGATCCTAAGCCACTGATATTGCTATCACACTCTACTTAAGTCTTTCCCTTTCTTTTACTCTCTTCCCCTTCTCTCCAAAAGAATGACAACTACAACCATTTGAATAGCACTTTACATTTCTAAAATACTTTAATTTCCATTCATTTACCTAGCTCATAGTAATCACCTATATCAAGTGGCTAGATAAGCAATATCCTTCTTTCATGGAAATACTTAGTGGAGACCTACAATAAACAAGTAAGCAAAAAAATAAATAACATTTTTCAGATAGTGATAAATATTATGAAGAGGACCAAATGTCATGGAGAGTGGGAAAGAAGATGTACTGTTATGGAAAGATGTTCTGAAGAGGTAGCTTTGAGAAAAGACTATGAGAAATTACCTGTGCAAAGATCTGGATGAACAGTGTTGTAGGCAGAGGAAAGAGCAAATACCAAAGTTTGCCAGTCTTACCTTAGAGCATGGGTGTGATGTGCATTCCGTCTGCAAGTATTTATTCAGCAAGTATTTGTTGTCCACCCTGACATTCAAATGTGATCTGACTTGTATGCCAGATATGACCTGATTTATATTTCAAGAGATCATCTTGGCTAATAGACTTTAGTTGGCTCAGCTTTGAAAGAAAGAAAGACAAATTAGGATGTTGTAGGAGTGCAGAAGAGATGCATGGCTTGGACCAGGGCCAAAGAAGGGAAAAGTTTTCAGACACTGGATCCATTAAAAAGTAGAGCTGATAGAACTTGTTGTTGCTGGATTAGTCTTCAATATGAAGGAAAAATAGGAATCAAGAATTCCTAAGTATTCCCTGGTCGGTTTGGCTCAGCAGTTAGAGCATCAGCCCGTGGACCAAAGAGTCATGGGTTTGATTCTGGCTGAGGGCACGTACCTCAGTTGCAGTTCGTCCCAGCCCTGGTCCAGGTCATGCGGGAGGCAGCCAATCCATGTGTTTCTCTCACATCGATGTTTCTCTCTCTCTCTCTCTCTCTCTCTCTCTCTCTCTCTCTCTCTCTCTCTCTCTTTCTCTCCCCCCCCCCCCCCCGCCTTTGCTTCCACTCTATCTAAAGATAAATGGAAAAAATATCTTGAGGTGAGGATTTAAAAACAAAAAGAATTCCTAGATTTTGGCCTGAACCACAAGGTGCAACAGTGGTGCTATTTATTGAGCTAAGAAGACTACAAGTTTGGGATTAGGAAAAGAATCAGTAGTTTTATTTTGGACCAGTTAAGTTTGAGATTCCATTGAGATATCTAAGTGAAGAAATTATGCAGACAGTTGGATATATGACTCTAGCATTCATGGGTACAATCAAGACTACTTCTTCAGTGTATAGACTTTCAAACTGTGTCTCCAGCTTAAACTTCTTTCCTGAATTTCAGACTTTTACATCGTACTGCCTTCTCAGCATCTCCACTTGGTATCCAGTGGACATCTCAGGTTTAATAGTTGCAAAATTAAACCGATTATCCCAAGAAATCTTGCTGCACACACCATCTTACCTGTTTCAGTTAATGGAAACTCCATCTTCCTAGTTGTTCTAGCCAACTAGGAAGTTGTTTTTGGACTCCTTTCTTGAACAGTTTACATACAGTCCATCAACAAATCCTGTTGACAATGCCTCTATCAGAATTTGACCACTTCTTGCCATCTTCATTGCTAATTCTCTCTTGCCCAGGTTACTGTAGTTGCCTCTTAAATCATCTCTCTGCTTCCTACTTTGTCTTCCTACAATCTCTCCTCCGTTTAGCATTTAAGAAAATACTTTATACCATGAGTCATAGTAACTCCTCATTTTTCTCCAGGTTAAAAGCCAAGATTTTAGTGGCCTACAAAGGCTGCACAAGCTGTTCCATCATTATCTTTGACCTCATTTCCTGTCATTCTCTTCCTTGCTCACTCTGCTGAGCCTCACTGGCCACTTTTTGTTTCTCAATACCAAGCAATCGTATATGTCAGGGGCTTTTGTTTTTTTTTTGTTTTTTTTATCCTCACCCGAGGACATTTTTCCATTTTTTTGTACAGATAGAGTGGGAGGGAGAGAGAGGAACAGAGAGAGAGAGAAACATCGATGTGAAAGGGACACATCGAGTGGTTGCCACCCACACGACCAACCAGGGCCGGGGACAAACTGCAACCAAGGTACGTGCCCTTAGCGGGAACCGAACCCGGGTCTCTCTAGACCGTAGGCCGAAGCTCTAACCGCCGAGCCAAACCGGCCAGGGCTATGTCAGGGGCTTTTGTACGTGTTCTTTTCTCTGCCCATCCACGTGGCTATTTTATTTTTCAGTGATATCTACCCTTCCAATCTAATTTATAAATGATCACCTATTATATAAATAATATATAATCTATAATATAAGTAATACTTATTATATAAATTATAATCCTCTCCCTTGATATTTGATATTTCTTATTTCCTCTTTCCTTAATCTATTTTTATTTCCTTAGCATTATCATCTAACATACTATGTAATTTGCTCGTTTTTATTTTTCATTGTTTATCTGGATAAACAATAGAATATACTTATTGTTATTTATTTAGTCTGCCTTCTTCAACTAGAATGTAAACTCCAGGAAAACTGGTATTTTTTATCTCTTTTATTTACTCATATATCTATAGTATCTAGAACCCCAGTTGAATGAATTAATAGATATTATTTAGAGATACAGAACTTAAAGCTTTTCTGTTTTTGTGAATTTTACCTACAGGTATATTCACTTGCATGAAATGGCAGATATACAAGTTTATTATAGTGTTGATTATAGTAGCGAAAGATTGAAAACTACCTAAATATCTTTTAGTAAGTCACTGGTTAAATAAATTGTGATGTACCTATAGAATGGGATAAAGCAGTTGAAAAAAAGACCAAGAAAATTCTTTATGTACTAAGATAGAATGACCTCCAAGATATAGTAGATGAACAAGAGCACAGTTGTTCACTTCTGGCCTCCGTGGCTTCTGATGAGAAATCAGCTGTTAGTCTTACTGGGGAATCCCATCCATGTGAAGAGTCCTTTTCTCCTGTTGCTTTCAAGATTATCTTTTCTTTGGCTTTTGACAGTTTGAGTATAATGTGCCATCGTGTGGATCTTTTTCAGTTTCTTGTATTTGGAGTTTATTGAGCTTCTTGGATGTGTCAAATCACATATTTCATCAAATTTGTGAGGTTTTCAACTATTATTTCTTTAAATATTTTTTCTGCTACTTTCTCTTTTTTCCTTCTGGAAGTCCTACAATGTATATATTGGTACACTTGATGGTGTCCCCAGGTCCCTTAGGCTCTGTTCATTTTTCTTCATTCTTTTTTCTTCCTGCTCCACAGATTGAATAATTTCAATCTTTAATTTCACTGTTTCTTTCTTCTACCTGCTCAAATCTGTTTGGAACCTCTCTAGTCAGTTTTTCATTTCAGTTATTATAGTTTTCAGCTCCAGATTTTTTGTTTGTTTCTTGTTTTAAAATTTCTATTTTTTGCCCTGGCCGGTTTGGCTCAGCGGTTAGAGCGTCGGCCTGCGGTCCTGAGAGACCCGGGTTCGGTTCCCGCTAAGGGCACGTACCTCAGTTGCAGTTTGTCCCCGGCCCTGGTCGGTTGTGCGATGTGTTCCTTTCACATCGATGTTTCTCTCTCTCTCTGTTCCTCTCTCTCCCTCCCACTCTACCTGAACAAAAAATAAAATGGAAAAATGTCCTCTGGTGAGGATAAAAAAAAAAAAAAAAAATTTCTATTTTTTTATGTTGTTAATACACAGTTTTCCTGACTTCCTTTAGTTCTTTGCCTGTAGTTTCCTTTAGCTCTATTAAGCATATTTAAGACAATTTAGTAAAAAATCTTTGTCTTTTTAGTCTGGGCGTCCTCAGGATGGTTTCTGTTGATTTATTTTTTTTCCTGTAAATTTTTCTACTTCTTTGTATGCATTGTAATTTTGACTAAAACCTAAACATATAAAATTTTATAATGTAGTAACCCTGGAAATTCTTTCCTGCAGTTGTTCATTTATATTCTTTGTCGTGTGTACTCACTAGAGGTTCTGTTTCATTATCTTATCAGTCGGCCAGAGAACTGATAGAGATTTCCTTAAATGCCCAGAGCCAGGAAGAAAAAATATAGTAGTCTCCTTAAAAGTATTGGCATTTATGTTTACAGTTTGCTTAATAATATCCCATCCTCCTGTCTTTCACTTTTACCAGCATTAACATGTCACCCTGAGAAAGAGGCTATTGCTGTGGCAACTGGTCATAGCATACATTGATTCAGAACCAGAGCAGTGACCAGTTTCCCTGGCAACGGCTCTCCACATCAGGATAAACCCCTTCTGGGTCAGTCTCCCTAACTGATTTAAACAGTGCTCTCTGGAAACATGACAGGTGGGGTGGGGTCACAAAGCAGAATTCAGGTTTTCAGTAGCCAAACCTGAATATAAGGGAAGAGAAAGAAAAATATGAAAAGACAGTGAAGATTCTCCTTATAAATAAAGAGGGATTGTAATTGACATGGAAGTGATATATACCAAAATTTGTTATTATTTTGATAATAAACCACTTAATCAGTAGTTGGCTTATATGAAAATAGACTCTTCTGGTTCTTACCCTAGCTTTCCAGTGCTGCCTTGTTAGTTTCCCTTTTCCTTGTACCTCTACATTCAGGTCAGAATTTGGCCCTCTGCTCTTTTTGGTTTACTTTTTCTTTCAGTTACATTAATTTTACTGAGAGGAACATGTTAATTAAATACAGCTCTTGACGTCCAAATTTGTATTATCTGAGATATGTGGTGCTTATTTGAAATAACTGTCCAGTTTAATTCAAGTAATAGTGGCAACAATTGCAGTTTATGTAAATGACATTGCAGAGAGTACCCACACTATGCCCTGCATTGGGCCTCCCAGAGCTATGTGTATACAATGACTGTGCTTCCCCCTGCTGTGCTGGCCTCGGTATCATGGCAGGAACAAACAAAAGTATGCTACTGTTGGCTTATTTTGATTTTGCATTGTCTATGAACACATGAATGCCCATAATATAATGCTGAATTATATTTAAGGAGTATAGTTACAGGGGAAACTTTTTTTAGGTGTTTTCTTTAACTCTTCTTTTTTTCTTCATCATCATATTTACTTTCAGAGTTTAAAAAATTCAGGCCTAAAATACAGAGTTCTCAAAATTGAAGCTTTTCTATCCATTTTTATTGTAGCAATTTTTTGGAGCTTCATGCTGATATGACAGTGTTTTAAAATTATTTTGACCTAACATTGCTAATGGCAGCAACACTACCCAGCAGAAAAATATCTGAGTGAATTTTACATTCCATTTGGAGAAAGGTTTCAGAATGTACCCTGGAAATGTTTGCTTGCACTATACATTGCACATGCTTAATCTGTTTATTTCTAGTAAGTATAGATGCTTAGTTTAATAAATTTGGCCATACTAAAATGTACTTACACATATTCTCCCAATATAGGGCATCACATTTGATGAATTCAGGTCATTTTTCCAGTTTTTGAACAACCTAGAAGATTTTGCAATAGCCTTGAATATGTATAACTTTGCAAGTCGTTCTATAGGGCAAGGTAAGTAATAATCTTTCAAAAATTAAAAGCAAAATATAATCCTACATTGTTTTGGGGGACTTTGACAGCAAATTAATTAGATATATCGTATCAGCCATCAATTACCTGAAAGTTTGTTGCGTATTTTAATGGGAAATCTGTTTTCCTAAGACAAGTTTAGGGAAATATGCTATCTTTTTGTATTAACAATAGAATGTACAGATGATGCAATATAGAATTGTACACCTGAACCCTATATAATTTAACCAATTAACCAATGTTACCCCAATAAATTCAATAAATAAAAAAATTATTATTGCCCTTCATTTTGTATTATGAGGAAAAGCTAATGATGTTCCAAAAAGTTCAGAGAAAAAGAAACCTCATGGTCACTGGGTAACATTGGAGGAAGTGTGTCTACATATAGAAGAGCCAGCTTCTTATAAGTCATGCCTCAGCCATCATCACAGGATGATGTTAATATTACCCATAATCCTTGCTCAGAAACCTGAATTTTGTCCACAGAGTCCCTTCTTAGCTATGGACTCACATTAACTGTTTTAAGAATGACATATAAAACTGAATGTGGATTTTGCTTAATTTACAAAAAAATACAACTGTCACAGAACTCAATGCTGTTGACTTCAGGACCAGCTCTTTCTTTCCCTGTAGGTAGACCAAAAAGTCAAGTTCTTTTTCTAGGATTATGTGACTATGACTACTTTTCCTCTTTCCTCATGGCAATATCCTTTTTAAATATTCTTGCCCTAGAGGATTTCCTATTCATGTCTTTAAGGTGATTTGACCTGTGTCTGCCATAATCTAATAAATGTCATTTATCAAATGTAATCTCGGGGGACAGTCTTGTTATTTTATATCCAAGATCTTGGGAGAAGCCATACTGCAGCCCATAAGTACTAATGATAATTATCTCTCTCCCCAAAACATAGAGATTGAGTCCTTCATATGGCTTCATTCATTTATTCATTGAGAAAGAGAAACCTGAAAAGTTGTCATTTTACCCTTGGTCTAGATGTTCAAATACGGCATCTTCTCAACAGAACCCATTCTAGTGTTTTAAAACCAAAATTTTGGGGAACCCTGCCTTCCCAGACCAGTGTTTACTTCCATGATAAACCTACTATTCAAATGAAAAAGGAAAAAAAAAGGTCTGGTTCAGAATGGACAGTTGCTCTTTTACTTTGTGGAACTGGGAAATGGTAAAAATAGATTGTGTACTCCTGCAGGTGCTAGGAATATATCACTTTCTTTTCTGTTGTCATTACTGGTACCTTAATTCAGGTTATTACCTTTCAAAAGGATCTGGTATTCCTGCCAGTACCCACTTCCCTCTCTGATGTTTCCTGGACAACTCAGAATAATCTTTAGAAAACACAGATAAACTTTTCTACAATGTGCATGCTATGGGAAACTCTTCAGTTGTCTGTTGATGTACAGGTTCCTCACCTGAAGTCCCTGTGTAGAACTTCTCCAGCTCTTAGATGTCCAGATTGCTCTCTGTTTTCCGAATGTGCTTTACACCCTCTGTGCCCTCCATGCCTTGGTTCATGTTGTCTCCTCTGCAGTTTCCCTCCTCTCTGCAAGCTGCAGCCTTCTATCCTTCGGGACTCAGCTCATGTACAGAACCGTAGCCTTTCCCAATCACTGCTCTCCTCTCTCCTTTCCCTCCTCCACGCTGCTGACAGAAGCATTCACTCTTTCCAAATTCTCACAGTGCTTTATTGGTACTTTTGTGTGGTTTTGTGAAATGGTTACTTGGGCAGGTAGGTGTCTCGTCTCCCATTGGACTGTAAGTTTCTGGAGAACTTACTCATCCTAATAACCTCCAAAGTGTCACTGATCATAGGTGCTCATTAAACATTCATCGAATATGAATGCATTATTAAACTAAAATACAGTTTTTCTTAGCCCTTTAAATTAAAACTACAAAAATTTTTTTTTTTTCTGAAATATAGCATGATTAATGAAAAGTCATGTTACATAAGATCATGACCCATGTTTAGGGAAAAACTTCTTTTATAACATTTTTGTAATTAATACACATTTAATTATAATAATGATTTTAAAAATAATAATGATTTACTTATTTTCTGTAACATTTATCTAGATGAATTTAAGCGTGCGGTCTATGTGGCTACGGGCCTCAAACTTTCACCACATTTAGTGAACACAATCTTCAAGATTTTTGATGTTGACAAAGACGATCAATTAAGTTATAAAGAATTTATTGGAATTATGAAAGACAGACTCCATAGAGGATTCCGGGTAAATATATAAATTTCAAGCCTGTTGAATTATTTTTTAAACTAAGAGAAAAAAAATCCAAGTTTCAGAAACAATTTATATACATTTTTAAGGATATAAATATGAAATGTTATATTTGAAAAGAAAACCATAAGGCCCTACCTACTTTCAAAAACAGTTTGAGGTTTAAAAGATAATGCTTTTTTAAATATAAAATCAGTTTGAATTTTATAACTTATTTTCATATTCAGGTAATTCAATGTCTTCATCCCAATTTGTGGGGGGAAATGTTTCCAAATATTTTTGATTAATTCAATCTGCACACTTGCTATCAAACTTGCTAGTGTACAAAGAAATATGACTTTCTCGTTTTATATGATGAGGATTTCCACTAGCGACTTGAGTTGTTTGAGTCACTGCATATTCAGTACTTTATATATAGAAAATAAAATAAAAAGTTTTTTTGTCTGTTGAACCATTCTTCCTGTTAATATCTTACACTGTAAAGTAATTATGAAAGATTCAATGATTATTTTTCTCAAATATGTTTTAAAGAATAAAATTTAGCATGAATCAATAAATGTTTACACATCTAACATATTTGTGGATGGTGCCAAAAATGGAAAAAGAAAATAAATAATTTCTATTAAGAGCTAGAATATGCTATCTTCCCTCTTTGGTAAGAATATTCCTAAGCATTATACATTAAAATATACACAAAAATATCAAGACAATGTTTTTCAAGATTTTAAATGACTTTTTAAACTCCCAAGCTGTCTTGGTAATGATACTGTGTACTTAACTGCCACCTAGTGGATAGTTAACATTTGAGATGATGGCATAAACACCTGAAAGGACATGTATTGAAAATCATTTATTCTTCCTCAAAAATTTTAGAGTAGCAAGAGCAAGTGAAAATATAAACTAGGCTATAAACCTCCAACACTGTATTTCTTTCTTAGGTGTTGTGTGGTTTTGTTTTTTGCTTTATTTATTGCATATCTGTGGCCCCATAATCTTTTATTTATATTTGCATTTTTGAATCTTCTGTTCCACAGGGTTATAAAACAGTTCAGAAGTATACCACTTTCAAATCCTGTCTGAAGAAGGAACTTCATAGCAGATAAGTATGTTAGCTTCTCTGTTTAAAATTGTTCAGTAACAACGAAGGAGGGGTCATAATTTATTTTTCTGCTATGACATTTAGGAAATAGCTGAGAGAAATACAATTTACTTTTAGTTTTTAGGTCACTAATTCAACTTAAGTATAACAAAATACTACTTTGCCACTGTTAAGTTGTGATCTAAAAATAAACTGAGTTAATACTCATTCAACTGGAATTCTCTTGGAATGTCTTGACTGAAAATTATTGTTTAACCTGCAGGTCTATATCTGAATAAATACAAAATAACAACTTCGGACTGGGCTTTTATAGTTCAGGATCATCAACATCTAAGGAATATTTATGTTATTTTTTAGGATTATGATTCCAAACATCTGCTACAGTAACTAATTTTTTTAGTTAGTTTAGGTGCTTGGCACTATATTAGGTGTTCTTCCACATGTAAACTCTCATTTAATTCTCACAGATGTCCCATTTAACAGCTGAGAAAATAGAGGCAGATAACATGTCACAAACTAGGGTTTGAGCCTCACTCTGTCTAATGGTAAAGCCATCTTATTTATTATTTTCTAAACTATCACTGTAGAATGCCATAGTTGAGGAAGGTACAGGAGGTCCATTCAGTTTGTATCAACCCAAAGAAATGTCTCAGATTTGTTGCTGATCTCCAAAATGAGGGATTTGTTTTTCCTTTTCTCTTTGAAACGTCAACTGTACCTATAAAATTTTGGTCCATTGTGGGTTTCAATTAGGTCTCTAATTAAAGGTTCTATTTATTTATACATGCTTGCAAATATATATTCCTTGCTGTTTTTCTCAAGCTTGAAACATTTATATTTGCCTATAGCAGAACTACCAAAGTGGTTCCAGGCAATATCAATGCATATTCTTTAAAAAAAAAAAAAGTTTAGCCCAGCCAGTGTGGCTCAGTGGTTGAACATCAACCCATGTACCAAGAGGTCACCGGATGGATTCCCGGCCAGGGCACCTGCCCAGGTTGTGGGCCCAATCCCCAGTGGGGGCATGCAGGAGGTGGCCAACCAATGTTCTCTCTCATCGATTTTTCTATCTCTCTTTCCCTCTCCATTCCTTTCTCTCTAAAAATCAGTGAAGAAAAAAAATAAAAAAAACTTTAGTCAAATAAGTTAGAGAAATATATAATAAACATAATTAAATAGGTCCCTTCCTCCTTAGAACTTATGGGCTCTTGTTATTTTACCATGCATTTGTCTCTCTCAAAGAAAACAGCAGTATTCCTTACTTTGCAAAGTAGCTTTGAGGCCTAATGTTTCACAGAACCCATCTTGGGAAATGCTGGTCAGTAAACTGTTAGTGGCAAGTAGGCGTATTTACCTATCTGATATGGTAACTGCTGTGACCGAGCTAACAAGTGGTCTTTCGAATCTCTGTTTTAAAGAACTTAATACTGCCCTGTAAGAACTTAAATATTTTTTTAAAATATGCCCTGGCCGGTTTGGCTCAGTGGTTGGAGCGTTGGCCTGCAGACCAGAGAGTCCCAGGTTTGGTTCCTGCTAGGGGCACGTACCAGAAAAAAAAAAAAATAGGGCCATACCAGGTACATGTTCACGTAGTGTTCCCAACTAACTTGTCATAGTGCCTCACTGACACTGTTGATTCTGTGCAGTACTACGAGGAACCATAGACAAAGATGACTCCATTTATTCTAGACCTTTGAAAGATGAGGATTAGACAAGGTACTAAACAAAACAGTGAACTTTTTAATTAAAGGAAATGTTTTATGATTAAGCCTTTTGATCCTTATATTTTCTGTTATGTAACTTACTGTTTCATATTATTGTCATAATATTTGATTAAGGCCATCACCTCTGAATTTTACCCTATATAAATATTGCTCTTATATATATGTATTTTTTTAATTAGGTACTTGTAAAGCAAAGTTTAAAGGATTATCTACATGACAAATGCCAGAAGCAGTAATTTCAGAGAACAGAAGCAGGTCTGAGGTCAGAACTTGCAGAAATGAAGGAAAAGATGAAACGCTAATTATAGTTTTTTTCTTGAACTGAATGCTTGAACATAAGACAAAATACATCTTCTTACTAACTACAAATGTCATGTGTTGTCAGGTTGAGCTTTTGCCTTGATTTACTGAACTCTGTACTTTTTCATTCCTTTCAGAAGTATGTAGATACTTCCAATGACTATATAAGAATGTATTTTAAATATTTAAAAATTTATTAGAAATTTGCCTAACTTCAAAATAATGTATGATTTCTGGAATCTAGATCACTTAAAAATGAACAATGACATTTTCTTTGGTTTTAGACTATCAACTTAGTTTAAGAAAATTAATATTCCTTAAGATTTATCTTAGGGCCTTAGAATTATTGATTATTCCCTATTATTTATCTGGCTTTTAGTTATATTGAAAGTGTTTTGAAAAACAAGTAGAAATTAAGATACTATACAATATGATGGTTTACATTGTACTTTTCACTTTAAAAGTACTTAATTAACATACATTGCTTGAGTCATATTAAGTTTTTTTAAAGTTCTTGTTCATTTACCAAAGTCAACAGAATGTCTGGTATTCTTTTATGTATACAGTGAAATTTTAAATGTAGATTTTTTTTTTTTTCTCGAAAGTCACATCTTGATGGTGGAAGAGTGGTACTTGTAGCATTAGTCACTGTTATTATTGTTGTTTTAACATCATGCTGCTCCTGATTGCAGAAGTGTATGTTAATAACATAGTAAAAATAATATCTCACAACTCTGTAACTTATTGCACATTGTTAGTAAATGTCTAGGCATCACAATGAGTACTATAAAAGACTAATATAAAATGGTTTAAAGACATATGTAACTATTAGGTAGAAGTTAGTATTTTGTTTCTTGCAAAAGGACCACCTGCAAAAGTGATATTAAATAGTAATAATGAATAATTTAATATAATTCATTATTTCAGAATGTCTTAAAAAATAAAAACTTTGTATTAAAAAATAACAAAATTAGATTTTTCACATGGAGAAAATTTGATAGTACTTAATGGAAATCTGTTCAATTAAAAAATTATTTTATAAAAGGATACTATACAAAAGTAGAACAATGAGTTTAAATTAACATGTTAATGTATTACATGAAGATATGTTCATTTATCTTCTTTTCCACGATGTATGTAATGTAAATTGCACACACTCCAGTTATAACCTTGCTTTTGCTTATGAAAATAGGAAATACCAACTTTGTTTTTATGTTATTAAATGTGAAATTGATAGCTGTGCATCGGCCTATTTATAAAAGTGATGTTATTTATGTTATTTCTAGGAAAATGTTATTAGCATTAACTGTGTATTTGACTTTGTACATTCTTTATCTGATATTATTTATTACATTGATATAGAAATGTGATTCATGAATTTGAGGATTCTATGTAGTATAATAATTTAATTTCACCTGCTTTCAAGGTTGATTTCATTGACTAAAGGAAAATGCTGATCCATTCATTTAACATACCCAGGTCTGTGTTACCTACCTGAATATTCTCAACATTATTTGCTAGCTAAAGTAATTGAAAAAATGCAGTTTATGTTTATCTTTCACTATAAGTTATATTATCTTGCATACATGGAACAATAGCCATTTGGAACAGTCCTATAAATGTACATTAAAAACTAAAATAGCTTATTAAAATTATTTATAATTCTGCCATTTTCCCAAAGGTTACTACATATGCAGTCTTTATTCTTTATTGCTTAGCAGAGTGAATGGATAGTCATATGTTTATAAAACTGTAGCATAATATTAAAATGGGAATAAATGAAGTATTCTACTCAGTTAAAATGGAAAAGAGTAGTAAATTACAATGATCCCCTACATATTATCACTCATGAACTTCAACCCTCTAATTAAAATGAGCCATAAAAAGAACTCATTGGATTTTTTTACATCAATTGAAAAATTTTTAGTACTGTGAAAATAGTAATATACTAAGTACATATATGATATCATTCTTAGTATTTCCCTCTACAAACTATTCTTTGAAAGATGAAACTATGCAGAAAAGTTTAGTATTATACTCTTTACAGAGAGTCTACATGATGAGAGGTTCGTGGTACTTCTCAGAATCATTTCATATTAAGAAATTCATTTAACTTAAGTTCCAGTTTATTGTTCTTATTATAAAATGTAATTGTAAAGTAACCTTACATTCTTATATTAAATAAATATACCTGCTTTTAAATTAAGAAACTTAGTACTTCGCTTTTATGTTTACACTGTGGACTAATGTCTTTCTAAAAAAGGTCACCTCCAAACTTTGGAATTGTCTGTTGGTTACCAAACCTCCATTGATTTTATACCCTTTGCTGTAATAATACCAATGAAATTAATCTTAACACTTCTGTAGGTAAATAAATCAGAGTCATAAAGCTTCTCAAGGTGTACAGTAGGAACTGATACTTTATAGAACGTGGTCACTGGGACTGGGAAGCTTTCAGAAAGCTTACGTATGACTTACCGGAGTATTCATTTTGCTTTACAGAAACGATTGCTTGAATGGCTTAAAATAAACCAACAGTACGGCAGCCCTTTTGTACTAATGTTGGTTATTTTGTAGGCATCATCTTATCAAGATGACTCCTAGAAATTTACCAGTTTTCAAAATACACTAATTATTTTACTTTTTATAGCCATACAATAAGTTAACATTTTAAATACTGCTTTTACTTCTAAAGGATGTAAAAATATGAATTGTGTCATATTCAGTAAATATAAAATAAAAACTTAAAGTGATAAAAAAGCATAGTGGTTTTTTTTCTTTTAATTGTGAGCATTTTTACTGTATTAGTTGCTCATAATGATGGTCTGTCATGCAGCCATTCACATCTTAAATTATATGAATATTGTATGAAACTCCTGGCAAAGATAGAATTCTCTTACATCTTTATATCTTTATAATTCTCTTTATATCACAATTAGTATTTTTGGCACACATCTTAAACTGAGGACTATATAATTGTGACTACAGGCATATTCATATATACACTGCTCAGAAAAAGTAAAAGCATTATTATAAAAGTTTTCTGGAAAAGATAAGTTATGTCCAGTATTGTAAAGGAAGAGAAAGACACGTGCTTAGAGAACTAGAACAAAGAACGTAGGACGATGGAAAGGGATCTGAATGAGTATAGACTTTTGAAATTGGGATTGAATCGTTTTTAGAAAAATACATTTGAAAAAAAGGCAATAAAGCAATAATCTCAATACACCCTAACACATGCCAGGTTAAAAACAGAGTCGCTCTGTAGTGCGTAGTGTTGGTAAGTGTGGGGGGCAACTTATGGTGAAGCTGTACGTATGGATGAACATGTTCTGAAGGAAATACAGAAATATCTCAAAGCTTTGACCTAGAATTTTACTTCTGGGATTGTAATATCCCACTACATATAATTTATAAATTTGCATGTCAAAAAATACACCTATCTAATGAAATATTATGTAACCATGAGAAAGAATGAATTTTATCATGCTGACATGAGATAATCTATAAGACAGCAAGGTATAGAAGAGTATGATTAGCTTCTGTCTGCGTTCAAGACACAATTTCATTGCAAAGAATTATATTTTAATATATCTTCATCAAAGTTACGTGTACAGTTTGTTAAAAGTCAAGGAGCTCTTATGCCCTGGCCGGTTGTTCAGTGGTTAGAGCATCGGCCTGCGGTCCAGAGAGACTGGGGTTCGGTTCCCACTAAGGGCACGTACCTCGGTTGCATTTTGTCCCCAGCCCTGGTTGGTCGTGCGGGTGGCAGCCACTCAATGTGTCCCTTTCACGTCGATGTTTCTCTCTCTCTCTCTCTCTCTCTCTCTCTCTCTCTACCTCTACCTCTACCTCTACCTCTACCTCTATCTCTATCTCTATCTCTATTTCTCCCTCCTACGCCGTCTGAACAAAAAATGGAGGAATGTCCTCGGGTGAGGATTAAAAAAAAAGAAAAGTCAAGGAGCTCTAAAGGTTTAAATAAAACACAGCATTCCTCTTTCCTCATCTCTGCTCTTTGAGGCAATCACTTTTGAATCATTTACTGTTTCTTTTGATATCAGCCTTCGTATTTCAAAATAACATGCTTACACCAATATTTCTCGATTTTATTTTTAGTATATTAACTTGATTTCCAACAATGGAAGATGAGGATTTGGCTCTATGACACAAACTCCCTTCAAAGCACACACACACACACACACACACACACACACATTCACACACTCCCCTTTCCCCATCCTTTCAGTAGACCTAGAGCATAATTTTAGTTAAGTCATTTATTACATCATCATCTACATTTCCTTCGTTAAACACTTCTTACTTTCCCTAGAATTAATAATTTTCTCCTTTTCAGTCTGCTTAGCTTTTGTGTAGTTCTCATTTACCTATCATTAATTCATCCCCAGACTCACCTCCAGAACTAAACATATTGTTAATACATTGTTACACATCAAGTAACATGTAAATGTTTACTATAATCCTGGAAATGCCTCCTGGGGCTCTCCATCTGACTGTCCCATCTCGAACAGTGGTTCTAATGCAGAACTGTCATTCCAGGATCCCCCCTCTTCATCTCTCCAAGATTTTACCCTCTCCATATCTCACGTCTTCCTCGTTCTTATTTTTTATTTTTATTTTTATTTTTTGGAGTGGAGCACAATCCTCCATATTTCCTGAGAAAGGCTGTGTGGTAAATAAATGTTAGAGATTTAGTATGACTAAAAATGCCTTTATTCTGCTCTCGTGCTTGAATAGCAATTTCGAACTTTGAACTTGAAAGCATTGGTCCCGTTGTCTTCCAGCGTTCAGTCCTGTTCTCAAGAAATCAGATGCCATCCCAATTCCTGATCTGTTTGTTTTTTCTTCTCTCTCAGGAAGTTAGTAGTCTCTATTGTTCTAAAATTTCACATTAACATAGTTTGGTAAAAGTCTTTTTACTCATTGATTGTGTTAGGTACTCAATAGTCCTTTGAATCTAAAAAATTATGGCATTTAGTTCTGTAAAAAAAAAAAAAAAAAGTAATTTCTTTGACAACTTCCTCTCTTCTTGCTTTCTCTGCCCAGTGTTTTTGGAATTTCTAGTGCAGGTTTCCCCTGCATTCTGAAAGGAGAGCATTCCTACGAAACCTTTATTAGCCCAAATGGCGTAAAGCAATGAGCAACCTGCTCTCTCAGAAAGTTTATGTTGTCTCTCCACTTTTACAAGGGACTTACATTAGTACCTGTTTTCACTAGCCAAAACGAATCTGAAGAGGATTTTCACTTAAAAAGGATGCTATCCAGCCAGCGTGGCTCAGTGGTTGAGCGTCGACCCATGCACCAAGAGGTCACCAGTTCGATTCCCAGTCAGGACACATGCCCAGGTTGTGGGCCCAATTCCCAGTAGGGGGCATGCGGGAGGCGGCCAGTCAACGTTCTCTCTCATCGATGTTTCTCTCTCTCTCTCCTCACTTCCTCTCTCTGTAAAATCAATAAAGGAGAAAAAGAAAATAAGAAAAAAAGGAAGCTATTACACCCAGCTGGTGTGGCTCAGTGGACTGAGTGCCGTCCCGTAGACCGAGAGGTCCCGGTTTGATTTGTGGTCAGGACACATGCCTGGGTTGTGGGCTCAGCCCCCAGTGCGGGGCGTGCAGGAGGCAGCTGATTGATGTTTCTCTCTGACTCTCATTTATGTTTCTATCTCTCCCTTCCTCTCTCTCTAAAAAAAAATCAATAAAAAACATTTTTTTAAAAGGATGTGAAAAAAAAGGAAGCCGTTACTGTACTAATAGGGTCTTTCGTAACAGGGAAGCAGCGTAAGGTGGATGTTGGGAAAGTGGGGGCACCTGTAATCAGACACTGAATCTCCTGTGCTTGTCCTGTCGTTTTTTTTCTTACTCTTCTTTTTATTGTACCTTTTTTAAAAAGAATTTTTGAGATTTCTTGAGAACCTTCTTAACTTCTATGCATTACCTTGAGTTTTTATTTATTCCATCACATTTTAAATTTTTTTTCTGTGAATGAACCTCTTATCTTCTGTTTTTCTTTAGTGTATTCAGTAATATTTATTCTCTCTCTGATTATTACTTTTAGTGTCTTTGATGTTTCTTTCTGCTTCCTTCATAGCCTCATTCTTTTTTTGTTTGTTTGTTTGTACTTTGGGTATCTCACATTAGAGGTTTTCCTTAAGTAGGTGGTGATTTTGTGCTGTATTTTCATTATTTTGAAGAACAACTTGGAAGCTCTCTGTGCCTGGAATGAACTTTTGAGGGACGGGTCTCCCTCACTGCTGTCTGGCTGGGCCCCTTCCTCTGAGACACCTTGATAGGCCTTTCTCCTTTGGTCAGATGTCTGCGGCCTGGTTATCCCAATCCCAGCTGCTATTTGGTACAGAGGCCCTTTGAAGATGGGGCCGCAGGCGTATTTAATGAAGAGGGCTATAAGTTCATACATTTAATGAGCTGTTATTGCACTGTTTTGAGTATCTGTACCATGTTTTTGTTTACTCTTTCAAGAAAAGCACCTTTTTAAAACTTAGGATCTCAGTCCGGAGTGTGGGGTAGGTTTATTCACCAAATCCAGAATGAAGTTGCTTCTTGAGGCAGATAAGATTCTAAGGAAAACAAAAGCATGATGGTGATCATGAGTCTGTGGCACTGTCGCGTGGGGTGGACGTGGACGGGAGGGACGGGAAAGGGATGAACGGATGCAGAAACGCCCGTGGAAATGCTACTGGATTAAAACATGAGAGACTGCAGCTGTACTCTCTTGCAGAACATTCGGGTGACATTTACCATACGGACAAAGAACTGGACTCGATTATCAGTCTAATTCAGTGTGGCATATTTTCCAGGATGAAGCAAGCAAGCTGGAAGGTAAGCGGATTAGTCTACTCGCAGATTTTAAACTGAGGTAAAATGAGAGTTTAGGACAGAATGAAAAGAAATTAATAAAGATATTTCCAGCCTGTGGTATATAATGCTTTACTCTTTGTAAGCTGTAGGTGCTATAAGAGTTAAAAGTTCAAGCTGAAAAATCTACAAAAAATACTGAAAATCTATACTATTTAATGTCATTGCTCTTTGGTGCTAAGAGGTTCTCAAGAAGGTGAGTATCTTATATGCCATTTGTGCTGTAATATTTAATTACAGTGAGTGTACAGATTAGCTGTCTCAGAGATTCTTTTGAAATCAGATTGCACATCAAAACTGCATTGTGCCCGGCTAAGTAAGCAAATTTAAGAAAGAGGAGAAGGTGATGTCAAGACTTATTGCAAAATGAACAAATAAAGGCATAGGATTTGCTGGATGTTCAGCCTATTAAAGCATGACCAAATGTTAGCCTTTGTTTGTCAACTTAAATATGTTTTTCTCAAATTTACAAAGATTCAGCCCATGAAAAGTATCCTTTAGCTAGTACAGTATTTGTACTTGAGAAATAAAATAAACAACATGAAGATGCTGAATAGATTATACTAATAGTTCAATTTTTCATAGTGATTAGATATGTATATTAGTGATTCAGATACAGGTATTTTTTAAAAACTTTTTGTTATTTTTCTGATTATATTAATATGTGATTTTGCTCCCTGATACTTAAGATTTTATAAGCTCAGAGGTTAATTAAACTTTTCCAAAATAGCTAGACCCCCAAATACAATATACACTGAAGCATTGCTGATTTACAGGTATCTATCCCTCCAATAAAAGAAGGTAAATGCCCTGGCTGGTTTGGCTCAGCGGTTGGAGAGTGTTGGCCTGCGGTCCAGAGAGACCCGGGTTCGGTTCCCGCTAAGGGCATGTACCTCGGTTGCGGTTTGTCCCCGGCCCTGGTTGGTCGTGCGGGTGGCAGCCACTCGATGTGTCCCTTTCATGTCAATGTTTCTCTCTCTCTCTCTTCCTCTCTCTCCCTCCCACTCTATCTGAACAAAAAATGGAAAAATGTCCTCGGGTGAGGATAAAAAAATAAATAAATAAGTAAATAAAAAAGAAGGTAAAAGTAAATTCTAAAATTTCCACTACCCAAGTAGCCGGGGTGAAGACTAGGCAGCTTGGAGCCTGGATAGAACTTGCTGGAAATAACCAGGAAGTAGGTGAGGCTGTGAGGGAGCAGCAGTTCTGGGCGCTGGCTCTCGATGGTGGGGAGCCGCCCACAGGCCTGAGGAGGGCAGGATGGGGAGCCGTCCACAGGGGTGAGGAGGGCAGGATGGGGAGCCGCCCACAGGCCTGAGGAGGGCAGGATGGGGAGCTGCCCACAGGGGTGAGGAGGGCAGGATGGGGAGCCGCCCACAGGCCTGAGGAGGGCAGGATGGGGAGCCGGCAGGATGGGGAGCCGCCCACAGGCCTGAGGAGGGCAGGATGGGGAGCCGCCCACAGGGGTGAGGAGGGCAGGATGGGGAGCAGCCCACAGGCCTGAGGAGGGCAGGATGGGGAGCCGCCCACAGGGGTGAGGAGGGCAGGATGGGGAGCCGCCCACAGGCCTGAGGAGGGCAGGATGGGGAGCTGCCCACAGGCGTGGAGGCCAGGGTGCTCCACAGATCGAATGTGAGTACTAGCTTTACAGTTGTGAGGACACAAAACAGACTTTATTCTATTATTTTCCATACAAACCACCGTAAACCTGTTTTTGGAGCCGTACATCCGAGACCCACTCCTTTGAGCTAAAATCTTTTTTTTTTTTTTTTTTTAATCCTCACCCGAGGACATTTTTCCATTTTTTGTTCAGATAGAGTGGGAGGGAGGGAAAATGAAATATCTATGTGAAAGGGACACATCGAGTGGCCGCCACCCTCACGACCAACCAGGGCTGGGGACAAACTGCAACCGAGGCACATGCCTTTAGCGGGAACCGAACCCGGGTCTCTCCAGACTGCAGGTGGATGCTCTAACTGCTGAGCCAAACTGGCCAGGGCTGAGCTAAAATCTTCAAGGAGGCTCTGAAGGGTCCTGAGACGAGTGTGCATGTGCACACCCATGTAACTAGTTGAGCCGATGAAACCATCCACGAGACTCATAGATCACAATCAAGCATAACCTCTTCAACAAAGACTATCAAATCCGATAAGACCAACTGCTATGAGTGAGAATCAATAGAGACAATACATTTAAAGAAAAAATGTTCTTTCCTTTATTGATTTTAGACAGAGAGGAAGTGAAAGGGAGAGAGAGAAACACAGATGAGAGAACATCGATTGGCAGCCTCCTGCATGCCCCCCACTGGGGATCGAACCCACAAACTGGGCATGAGTCCTGGCCGGGAATTGAACCAGCGACCTCTTGGTGCATGGGTCGACACTCAACCACTGAGCCACACGGGCCAGACAAGACAATAATTTTAAACCCCAAAGAATGCAGATGTTGGAACTGAACACAGAATGCATGAGAGCTATGTATGAAATTAACTCTAAAATTACAAAGATGAGTGTCATAGTATTGAGACCAAACAGATACACTTACCAGACAGAATTTCTAGAAATAAAAAAAAATGTAATTGCAACAATGGAGAGTTTTAGATCCAGCCACGACTGAGTAACTGACTTAACCCTTTCATCATAAACAACAACAACATTGTACAACAAAAACTGCCCAGCGTTGATCCTGGAGCAAAAGGAAATTCACGTGGTGACCTCTACATTCAGTCTGGCTTTCCGCTTGCAGCAGAGGGAAGTGAACCCCAAACAGAAGAACAAGAAGTTTCATGGGATGGAAGGATTGCGGGCAGAGTTAGGCATAGCTCACGTAGCTGGGATCTGTGGGACAGGGAGCCAGAGAAGAGGGAGCTGTGCAGAGAAGGGGCACCACAAGTCTGGGTGGGCTGAGGCTCAGCGAGGCACAGCAGGGACAGGTCACACAGTGGGAGCCATCGGAGCCTTCCAGCAAGGCTTCTCTGGAGTGAGGGTAACCCTTGGTTATCATTTACAAATTGTCCCGGTCCCTTCTCACACATATGGAGGTCTTCAGCGTTTTTTAATCTAATCTCTTTCTATATTATATATATATATATATTTAACTGTCATATAAATGACAAATATTCTTCCAATGTATTGTGTGAGTTTCATTTCTATATATCAAATATTTTTTTTATTTTTCTGTATTTGAATGGTCTTTTATTTGCCATCTCCTCCATTGCTTTTACACTTAGAAATTCCTCTACCAATCTGATAAATATTCTGTCATATATTTTTATGGTTTATCTTTTCTTTGCATTTAACTAAAAAAAAAAAAAAAAAAAAAAAAAAAAAAAATTCTCCTAGGATGAATTCTGTTACATGGCAAAATAAATAAATAAATAAATAAATAAATAAATAAATAAATAAATAGGACCAAACTCTAAAATGTCCCTGCAAATAGCTAACCAATTTATGGAGTACTACTACAGAATAATTCTTTTTTTTTGCACCTAATATAATGTAAATTATATTTTAAATATTTTACGTACTTAAATCTGTTTTAAGATCCCATTCTCTTCCCTTGGACTGTCTGGCTTTCTTTATAACTACATTATTTTAGTTATTTTAGCTTTATAATGTCTTCATATTTCATAAAACTAGTCTGAATAGCCAAACTTAGATTCCCCCCTCAATAGCCAAACTTAGATTCCTCTTGTTTTAAATGTTTTCTTAACTCTTCTTTCTCTTTCAGATAAACTTTAGAATTGTTTAATTGTATCTCCTTTACTTTAAAGATACGAATTAACTTTGGAAATCAGTGATGCCTGCCTCAGTCAGGGCTCTCCACAGAAACAATCGATAGGCCGTGTGTGTGTCCTGCTATATAGGATCGTATAGAGGGATATGTATGTATGTATATATACATATATGTATATGTGTGTGTGTGTATACATATACATATAGATAGTTGATAGAGATAGATAGATAGATAGATAGATAGATAGATAGATAGATAGAGATATAAAATAGAGAGAGAGAGAGATTTATTATAAGAATTGGCTCATAAGATTATGGAAGCTAACTAGTCCTAAGATCTGCAGGGGGAGTCAGCAAGCTGGAGACCTAGGAGAATTGTTTTAGTTTAAAGGCAGGCAGGAGGAATTTTTTTTTACTTGGGGGAAAGTCAGCCTTATTATTCTATTCAGGCCTTCAACTGATTGGATGAGGCCCACCCACATTAGAGAGAGCAATCTGCTTTACTTGGTAGACTGGTTTAAATGTTAATCTCATCCGAACACTCCCTCACAGAAGCACCCAGAATAATGTTTGATCAAATACCTGGATACTCCATGGCCCAGTCAACATGTCACAAAATATTAATCATCAGTACCTTTGTAATATTTTCATCCCAAACAGGAACAATTATTCCAGCTATTATTCTCAAGATCTATGGCTTTTATTATTAGGTCATACTACTTATAAGGTCTTTTCTAGATCCTATACACTTATTGTTGCTTCTAGGAATGAAGATTTTTCCATTAGGTTTTTGATCTGATTATTGTTGATATATAGACAAGTAGTTGATTTATTCAGCCACTTAACTCTAAGTAGTTCTGATATTTTTTCAGTTGATTCTCTTGAGTTTTTTGGTGGACAGTCATTATATGTAAATGAAGGTAAATGTGTCCTTGCCATTCCTATATTATTGCTCATATTACTGTTTCCTGTATTGCATTGATCATAGCTTCCATAACAATGTAAATGATAGCAGAAATATTATTATGTCCTGTTCTAATAGGATTACCTCTGTTTCAAATTAAACATAATATTTTGCTGTTCATGCGAGACAAATACTTTATCTTGTTAAGAAAGCATTCTTTAATTCCTGGATTTAGAAGAGTCTGGAGAAATGAATGAGTGTTGAATCGTCTCAAATGTCTTTTCAGCTTCCACCGACATGATTATGCATTTTTCCAACCTGACCTC